CTGCGTCTCGAGCTGGGCACTCAGTCCTTGAATGTTTCTTTAATAGTCCACATCTACTGCACTCACTTGTCTTTGAGTCAGTTTTTTCCTTTTCAAATTTATAGGGCTTTTTGTTTCGTTTGTGTATTGCTTCAACTTGCAATGGTTGCTGTTCGACTCCTCTGAGGACTGGCTGCTGCTTCTTTATTGCCTCGCTCTGTCTCACACGTGTCATTGCCTTTCCCAGTGTTAAATCTGCGTCTAACTGGAGACTTTCTGACAGTTTAGCATCTCTTATGCCAACAACTATACGGTCCCGTATTAGCTGTTCTCGTCATGTCCCAAACTCACAGTGTTCTGCCAGCGTGTGCACTGCTGTTATAAAGGACTCCACGCTCTCTCCCGGCTCTTGGCTCCTCCGGTTAAAGCGCGCTCTTTCGAAAATGACGTTTCTTTTGCTAACACAGTGTGCCGTGAAAGCCGCTGTTACTGCCTCGTATTGCTTCGACTGAGCTTCTGTCAGGGGCAAAACATTAAGGATGTCTTCTGCGTCGTCACCAGCAGCATACATGAAGCTGTTCACCTGGAACTCTTGAGACTGCTTGTCCAGCCCCGAAGCGATCCTGTAGTGCTCAAACCGCTTCAGCCATCTTGGCCACTCTGTGACTTTAGTGAAGTCAAACTTGCCTGGCGCCGCGAGCTGAGGCACGGCTGTTCCGCCGTCACCGCTCCTTCCCTGCGCTGCCTCCTGCTCACTCATGTTGTCCTATTCCCGTTTCATTCTGACACCATGTTACGTTAGCTGAACCTCACTTAACGTAGTAACACAGACAACACGTGTGTAAAGCAAGTCACGTCTTTACTTGGAGAACTAACATGTGTGTAACAACAAAACACGTCCGGGTGAAGCATAACATAGTTCCGCCTTACTCAACAGGGGAAAGTACCCGGAGGAAACCTACGCAGACACAGGGACCGAAATTCGAACCCAGGACTTTCTTGCTGAGAAGTGAGAGAGCTAACCACTCAGCCACAAATGTGTTGTATTTGTGAGGACTCTTTCCGCTGCATTTTGAATCAGCTGCAGCCGTGTTAATATAATATCATTGCAATAATAAAATCTGCTAAAGATAAAAGCATGTTTAAACTTTTCCAGGTCTTGTTTTGAAAGACCTGGAAAATATACTAGAGTGATTTACTCTAGTTATATTTTTAATCTCAATCCCCGGACCACAAAAGGTTCAACACCACAGAGCATTCAGTTTACACGGCCATATTTCAGGTTCATGAATGAATCACACTTTTCTCTCTTATAGGCTGGTCTCTATTTTCTCTCTAGTCTCTCTCTGGTCTCTTTCTAGTCTCTGTCTGGTCTCTCTCTGGTCTCTCTGGTTTCTTTCTGGTCTCTCTAGTCTATTTCTGGTCTCTCTTGTCTCTCTCTGGTCTTTCTGGTCTCTCTGGTCTTTCTGGTCTCTCTCTGGTCTTTCTGGTCTCGGCCTTGGTCTCTCTTGTCTCTCTCTGGTCTTTCTGGTCTCTCTGGTCTTTCTGGTCTCTCGCTGGTCTTTCTGGTCTCTCTCTGGTCTCTCTAGTCTCTCTCTGGTCTCTCTAGTATCTCTCTGGTCTTTCTGGTCTCTGCCTCGGTCTCTCTAATCTTTCTCGGGTCTTTCTAGTCTCTCTTTTCTATCTGGTCTCTCACTAGTCTCTATCCGGTCTATCTGGTCTAGATCTTATCTCTCTAGTCTCTGTCTCTCTCTGGTCTCTCCAGTCTCTCTCTAGTCCAGTGTTTTTCAACCACTGTGCCGCGGCACACTAGTGTGCCGTATGATATTTTCTGGTGTGCCGTGAGAAATTCGTCTACTTTGTCTAAAAATAGCTGCATTCGCTGTTGACGAGCGGTGACTTGTTTTGAACTGTGGAGTAACCATGTAATACTTTTTCAAATCAGTAGATGGCAGCAGATAGCTAAGTACTTTGAAACTGAAAAATTGGATGCGACCACAGGCTGTAACGCATTGTGGCGAGAAAGGTAAAATTGGATGCGACCAACAAATGTGGGAGGGAGCGAGACAAGAGCTTTGTGGCGAGTGAGAAGTGAAAGTGATAGAGACGTTTTTGAAAATGAATTATGCCGTTTCTGAACAGGATTAACATCCTCCGCTCTGCCCCGGGGCAGCTGTGGCCGCGTTGTAGTGGTTTAACTATGAAATGTACAAGTTTGTGTAAGCTCTCAGTCGTACAGGGATTAGTCAAAGCAAGATGGGTGAGAAACCTTCCTTTGCTATGAAATTTACAATTTTTGTACAACAGCTCTCGCGAACGCACTTCTGAACTGGGTACCGAGCGCAGACCATAGTCGAGTGGACAGAACCACAGACATGCGGACCGGACAGAACCATGGACTCGCGTTCAGGACCTCCCGTGTCCCTCATCCAAAACTCCTGAATTTAAAGCTCGGATACCTAAATTTTTCCCATGCACTAACAATGCATGTTCTTTGTGTGAGTTATTATTTGACTATTTGGGCAGAGAGTGGATTTTCTTAGTTTTTTTCAACACAGTTAGTGCCACTTTATTCCCAAACTCTTGTTAATTGTATCGAGAAATATTAAATAAAGCTTAATGTCAAGGCCTGGACTTAAGCATTTTGATGAGAATAACTGTATATTGTGAATATAGGCTACAGAGTATACTGTATACATTATAATATAAGATATATACTTTATATATCACACAGAGTATGTACAGTATATAATTTTTTACATTAGTACTGTATACATTTTTACATTTTCTCCTGGAGGTGTGCCGCAAGATTTTTTCAGTGAAAAAAGTGTGCCTTGGCTCAAAAAAGGTTGAAAAACACTGCTGTAGTCTATGTGGTCTCTATTCACTGCCTTCAGTTCCTGTCAATTCCTGGGCCGCCTTGCATGAACTACATTAGAAAACGTTTAAAGTCAGTGTTTTTGCTCAGTGTGAAACGCCTTCTGGGACGGTCCACTTGTTTTCCAACGTTTTCTATCTTTTTGTCCCATGCAGTCGCAGCATCGGTTCAATCACAGAATGAAGGATCTCCAAACATAACGGACGCCTGTTTGTGCAGGAGCGGGGCGTGGATCAGACGCAGCGATACACGATAACATCAGATTAAAAACATGTGAAATATGTGTGAAACTCTGAGGTTTAAGGAGTAAAGCTGTCCTCCCACCGGCTCCAGGCACAGATCACACATTCCACACATGAGAAGCCTCTGTAAAGCTAGGGTGTGTAACTTTAAAGCTGGGGTGTGTAACTTTAAAGCTGGGGTGTGTAACTTTAAAGCTGTGGTGTGTAACTTTAAAGCTGGGGAGTGTAACTTTAAAGCTGTGGTGTGTAACTTTAAAGCTGGGGTGTGTAACTTTAAAGCTGAGGTGTGTAACTTTAAAGCTGGGGTGTGTAACTTTAAAGCTGGGGTGTGTAACAACAATTAAACATGTCTGGAGCGTGTGGCGTCTCAGTGTCTCGGACTCTGCAGCCGCTGCTTCGCTTTGTATCAACTGTGTCGGTGTTGAAGTGTTTCATTGGCTCAATACTTTTCCCGGCTTCTCATTGGTTCAGAGCGTTCCAGATCAATATTTCTTCAAAATGTGAGGAGTGTTGTATAGTGTTGCTGATTTTGGCGACTTTAATGGCACCTGCAAGTGGAAAACTGAGATAGATAGATAGATAAATACTTTATTGATCACCCATAGGAGAAATTCAGGTGTCCAGCAGCAGAAGACTCTTTTCTTGTTGTTGTAGTACAGTTAGTCAGGTTTGACAGTCAGTCAGGTTTGTTGTACAGTCTGACAGCCAAAGGAACACATCTCTTGAAACGTTCCATTCGGCAGCGTAGTGATAGGAGCCTGTTGCTTCGATTACTCCTCTGAGCGGCCATAGTGTCATGCAGAGGGTGTCTGGAGTTACCCAGGATGCCCTGCATTAGAGCCCTCATCCTTCTCTCCAGCACAGCTCCCACAGAGTCCACACTTCTCCCCATCACAGAGACACACTTCTTGATCAGTCGGTCAATCCAGGTTGATCCACGGGTTGGGATCATTTTTATCTTATTTAACTTAACACGGGTTTGTCTCATTAAATAATATTTCGACCATTTATGGTGAAATCGTCATTATTATTAAAAGCCGTCTGCTGTTTGCTGTGCACTCAAGTATTCAGAAGCTGCCATGATTACATTTGCCCACTAAACAATCTGGCTAAGAAAGCTTCTGTGAGCTTTATCTGCCCATCACAATTTTAATTTTAATTTTAGTGCAGTGTCCTGATTGGTCAGAAAGCTCCTGTGTTCCTCTGGTCCGGCAGAAGTAGAATAACTGAAAAGAACTTCTCCAAGGTTTGGGACGTCCATGAAGCAATGAGCTCTGTCCAGTGATTTGATGGAACAGACATCTTGGAGACCCGGGGCAGACATCTTGGAGACCCGGGGCAGACACTTTGGGGACCCTGGACGGGCATTTTGGAGACCCGGGGCTTGGGAAGGCTAGCTGGAGCCAATTTCCTTACATAAGCATAGCTTTGTGCAGTTGCAGGGGCAGATGTGTTGCTATTTGGTCAATCCTTATGTTGCTCATGTCAAGATTTACAAAGACAATATTCATGCGGTCGACTAACAACAGACAGAGGTTAAAACAACCATAAAGTATGACACAAACAGATACTGAGCTTAGATTCAATGAAGAGCTAGAGAGAGTTGGAGCAAAACTTCACTATGAGCGCTTTCTTATTGGGTTTCATAGAGCTAGCGAGTTAGCCTTGTACATCTATACACAGTCTACACTCTTCTGTTAGATCAAAGAAGTACAGTTATTAAAGCAGTAACCTCACACTTCCTCTTCGTCCTCATATGTGTTTAATTTATCTCATTCCATATATATATATTTATTGAAGTCATTTTAATTACTTTGCTATATTTTTCCTGATTGTTATTTGTGCATCTCTTTGGGAAAGGGTGTAAGAATAAAGCAGATTGTATTGTTCACTCCTGTCAGGGCGGCCTCTCGGTGGACTCCATCTCAGACCTGGTGGAGAGCCAGTCCCGCCTGTTGGAGGCGCTGCAGCTCTCTCATCCTGCAGAGTTAGAGCTGAAGAAGTCCAGCAGGGAGCGCACTCCTACCAACAAACTCAGCCTCAACCCCATTTGCCGACAAGTGCCCCGCCTGGTGGAGAGCTGCTGCCACTGCATGGAGACGCACGGTAAGAACTGAACTGGATGTGAGTTACAGGGAGGGGGAGGGGCTTGGATATGTGGGCGGGGCATGGGTAGATTATCTGGATAATGATAGGATGTACTCTACTTGCATCCCTATTTTTTGTTTTTGGTTTATTTCAAGGTTTAGGCAGTGTTGCCAACTTAGCGACTTTGTCGCTAGATTTAGCGACTTTTCAGACCCCTATAGCGACTTTTTTTCAAAAAAGCGACTAGCGACAAATCTAGCGACTTTTTCTGGTGTTATTGGCGACTTATCTGGTGTTTTGGCGACTTATCTGGTGTTTTGGAGACTCGTGAAGCACGTATTGTTCTGCTGTCCTCAACGTGAGCCCCTCCCCCGTCCCAAAGCACTTACAGGCGGCCAGTCTCACAGTAGCCTTGCGCAGCAGTCCCAGCTACAGTCTATGGGCGGAGCAGAGAGAGAGAGAGAGGAGACTCAAAAGCACAGGGAGTTTTCAGGCTGCTGCAGACTGAACTTCAGCTCCACCACCACCACACATCCAAAGCTCCCCGGCCACTCCTACCACCGCCACCCCCCACTACCCCCCACTCCATCCGCGGCAGCTCTGTCCGTGACTCTGTTTTCTCTCAGTAGTGGGTCACATTAAATCATTTGTTATGCCAAACTATGAAAAAAAAAAAAAACTTACAAAAATAGACCTAAGTAACTCTGCCAGAGTGTGTCTTTTGGGTCACTTTGCCGGTCCCAAGCCCGGATAAAGGAGGAGGGTTGGTTGTAGAGCTAGCAATTTCACCCTACATAACAATCTTTTGATTACATTTGCTGTTATAACATTTAACAATACAGGACAAAACTGATGTGTGTAATGTGGATCTAGACAAAGCATTAAAATCATTAAATGTTGTTAATGTTGAAATTATTTTTGTACATTTGTAGTTCTAAACATATTTAGGGTGTTTTTACTCACTTTTGTCTCTCCCACGACCTTATTCCTCTCTCCTACAGCGTCCGTTACAGTTATTTGCAAATGGCAAATTATGCAAATTAGGCGATGACGTCATTTAGCGACTTCTAGCGACTTTTGGGACAGCCAATAGCTACTTTCCTTACTGAGGAGTTGGAAACACTGGGTTTAGGATGTATTCAGACCTGCACATTTGCTCCACTTTAAACGGACCAGGATTCGTTTGGAACTCTGATCCGAAGCTTTTATGCAGGTCTGAATACACACAAACGAATCCTGGTCCGGACCAAAGAACCGAACCGAGACCCACTTTTTGAGGTGGTCTCGGTCCGCTTCCAAACGAATTCTGGTCCAAGTCGAATCAGGTCTGAATACATCCGGTGTCGATCCGACACAACTCCAAGATTTGTGCGCATTTTTTGGGCTTAACAAGCCAGAGACAGAAACTGAGGAATTAGCCACGCAGCGGCTAACTATGCTGCTAACTATGCTGCTAACTATGCTGCTAACTATGCTGCTAACTATGATGCTAACTATGCTGCTAACTATGCTGCTAACTATGCTGCTAACTATGCTGCTAACTATGCTGCTAACTATGCTGCTAACTATGCTGCTAACTATGATGCTAACTATGCTGCTAACTATGCTGCTAACTATGCTGCTAACTATGCTGCTAACTATGCTGCTAACTATGCTGCTAACTATGCTGCTAACTATGCTGCTAACTATGCTGCTAACTATGCTGCTAACTATGCTGCTAACTATGCTGCTAACTATGCTGCTAACGCTACACAACAACACTGAGCCGTGTGCAGACCTGGAGCAGTGAGGAGACGCTGTGCAACAGGCTTATGGAGTTAGAACTGTTCACAGTTCACAGTGATGTTAATGGCAGCATCTTCAAATCATTTGCATTATTAAAAGAATCACGTGTTTGTCTCACGTCTCAAAGAGCAATATTCCGCATCATGTAGTGAATTGTGTTCTTTGGTTCCTACCTGATCCTCAGCGTCTGTTTGTCCCGTGGTTATTATAGATCCATGGTTTATCCACGATGCTGAACAGGGCCGTTATTATAATAGATCCATGTGTGGGACAGGGCACGGAGCGCACAGTCTCCTTCGTCTTTCTCCTCACGCATTCTCCGACGCTGTTCCAATATTTAAAACAACGTGTTTGGCCTGTGTCATATGAGCTGCTGCTGTTGATGTTGAAGGTGGTTTTGGTCTAAAAAGAGCAAACAGAGGCAGAGCAGACATGCTGCACATACGAGCCCTCAATGTTTTCTGCCGGTTCCGCGTCTATCCTCCGTGAGCTCTCTCTGTCCAATAGGAGCCGATCGTCACACGTGTCGATATGTTTATATAAAAAAGTTCAGTTGCAAAAAGTACAGTCTGAATATGAACCAGAGCAAAAGAAAAAAGTTTGGTCCGCTTTTGATTTGGATCAAGCAAGCGGAGCAAAGGACTTTTCAGGTCTGAATACACCCTAAGTCTCCAGTTTTAGCATGTATTCAAAATTAAAATTATCAAATCTGGTGAAAAACTAAATATTTTTGTGCTAGTTTATCAGAATTCCATTGGTTTGAATGAGAGGAGTCTAAATTACGTCTCTGGGAGTCCTGATAGTTTCAAAATTGAGACTTTCCTAGTAGTTGCAGCTGAAATTCTTTATCCTCACTAGTCTCTCTCTGGTCTAGTAGCTCGCTGGTCTCTCTGGTCTCACTCTGGTCTCTCTGGTCCCTCTTGTCTCTCTCTGGTCCCTCTAGTCTCTCTCTGGTCTCTCTGGTCCCTCTTGTCTCTCTCTGGTCCCTCTAGTCTCTCTCTGGTCTCTCTGGTCTCTCTGGTCCCTCTAGTCTCTCTCTGGTCTCTCTGGTCTCTCTGGTCCCTCTAGTCTCTCTCTGGTCTCTCATGTCACTCTCTGGTCTCTCTGGTCCCTCTAGTCTCTCGCTGGTCTCCATCTGGTCTCTCTCTGGTCTCAATGTTAATGTGAGTTTGGGAGAATACTCAGATCTCTAAACTGAGCATTAGAGCTTTAGAGATAGAGGAGCAGACATATCATTTACACAGCGCTGAGGTGGATCATGGATCTGTTCCCGCAGGTTTACAGACGGTCGGGATCTTCCGCGTGGGCAGCTCCAAGAAGCGCGTCCGCCAGGTGAGGGCGCTCTACTGTTCATGCTGTGAATGGACCAATCATGGACTTGTGATGCCTGGTGACATCACAGAGTGTGTCGTTCAAGGAGAGAGCCTTTTAGTGACTCTCTCTCTCTTTCTCTGTCTGTCTGTCTCTCTGTCACTCTCTCTCTCTCTTTCTCTGTCTGTCTCTCTCTCTGTCACTCTCTCTCTCTCTTTCTCTGTCTGTCACTCTCTCTCTGTCTCTCTTTCTCTCTCTCTCATATAAAATACACACTTCCATAACACACACAGGGGAGAGACCTATAGTTTTGCTTGTTGTGTGTGTTTGTGTGTTTGTTGTGTGTTTCTCCAGCTGTGTGAAGACTTTGACTTGGGCCTGGACATACAGATATGTGTGATTGTTGTTTGGGGTTGTGTGTTGATTGTGTGTTGGTTGTGTGTCTCTCTCCAGAGCTGGATGAGGACTTTGACCCGGGCCTGCCCTGGACGTACAGTTGTGTGCGTTGGTTGTGTGTTAGTTGTGGGTTGATTGTGTGTGTCTCTCCACAGCTGCGTGAGGACTTTGACCTGGGTCTGGACGTCCAGCTGGATCAAGAGCAGAGTGTTCACGATGTCGCCGCGCTTCTAAAAGAGTTTTTGCGGGACATGCCTGACACACTGTTACCACGGGAACTGTATCACGCCTTCCTGCACGCCAATTGTACGACACACACATATACATGCACACACACGTACACACACGCAAATTGTACTACACTCACACACACACACACATCATACACACACATTCACACACACGTACATTCAAACACACACACATATATACAGTAAATATATAAACTGTACGACACACACACACACACACACACATGCATATTGTATACACACACACACACACACACACACACACACACACACACATGCATATTGTATACACACACACACACACACTCACAAACCATGTGCAGGAGTGTTGTTATATGACATCCTACATAATTCCACTTTAATGAATACTGTAAAAGTTCCAGGTTTAGCGGCAAAGCTAGTTTCACCTCCGTCCATTGTGGAGACTTTAAAACACATTAGATCAGTAATAAAAAGAAAGAAATGAAAATAGTCAAAGTGAGTACATTATAGAGCAGGGGCCACATTGGGTTCTCGGGTTAAGGGCCCGAGTTCATGTAATGTCATTTGGAACAACATCTTATAGTGAGATTCTTCAGAGAAGAGAAGGAGAAGGAGAGAGAGGTCCTCACTGTGTTCGATTTAATATTGTTGTTAATATTAGGTGTCTTTAGATTTCAATATTTGCTTGGACTGAACCAAAGCTGAATTTAAACACAAGAAAGAAGGCTCAGTATTTTGGACAGATGAATGTTTTTGATGAATTATGATGAGGTATAACGTGCCATTGTAGCACTCATGGAGTCACAAACTTTCATTAGGCGTTGATTGAGACAGTAGAAGTTTGCAGATGGTCAAAAGGTCCGAGGGCCGTGTAAACCGGGCCGCATGTGGCCCCGGGGCCGCACTTTGCCCAGCTCTATTGTTTACAAACAGCACATAAGTGACGACAAACTTTGACCAACGTGAGATACAGAAACATCAGCGCAGACTCAATGTTTGATGAATTTGCTTGTTCTTCCTGTGTCTGCAGTGTTGCACGGCTCAGAGCAGCAGGATTACCTCCAGTTGCTGCTCTACCTCCTCCCTCCCTGTAACTGCGACACTCTGCTGCGTCTGCTGCTGATGCTGCACACCGTCCAGAGCCACGCCCACGACACAGAGGGGCCCAACGGGGAGCAGGTGAGGGCCCCGGGGTCACAGCTGGAGATGATCCAGGACATTCTACATTCACCCACATTTATGGACATTGGTCATCTGCCCCTTATGGACCAATGACTCTATGGCAGGCTCAGGCCCGTGGGCCAAACCCGGCCCGCAAGACTATACTAATAGTGGCCCCTGAAATTATTTTAAATGATCAGTATAACAGCATTGATGGTAATGGGTTACTATGACATGTTATAGTTGAAAATAAGCTTTAAAATGTAAAGCAATGTCATTGAATCTGTTCTTAATTGTTAACTGACAAATAATGATAAGTTAGGCCAAAATGTGTTTTTTATATTTTACGATGGATCTTCGATTACATATGCTTTTTGATATTTGGTCCAGTTGTGATTGAATCCAAACCTACTGAAAATAATATCCAAACTTATGTCAAATAAAATGTATCTGTCAAAAAATATGTAAAATAAAAAAGGGTAATAAAAGTAAACCACTTTTAAAGATAAAATCCTCCAGCTCTGGTTCCCCGGCGCTGTTTCTACGGCGACCACTGCTCCTGTATAAAAATACATAGAATTGAATTGAATAGAATTCGGGCGTTCTGCTCTCCCAAAATTCCATCCGATGGGCGGGGGAGCGACTGAATTTTGCGTTGCATTATGGGTAACACTTGCCTTCGCAACTTCCGGTTCTCTCTGCCCGGCGCATTTTCTCTAAATGGTTGAGTGTTTTCGTCATTTTCTGTATGCAAATACATTCCCGTCTCTAACTAGTGGCATATCGCGCAAATCATCCGTCCAATTCACATTCTTCCCTCTTAGCTGAACTTCATTCTCATTGTTACCATCTGTCACTCGCACACACAGCCGTTTTCGTTCACTCTGCTCGCTATCATCTTCTTCTAAATCTTCATAAACACCATCCGCTCGTTGAACTAGCAACAACAATTCCTCCTTTCGTTTTCCCACACTGCAAATACCCTTTCGCTTCAACCTTTCACGCAATTCAGGCACTGTCAATCGCTTGTTGTTTTCGTGAGCCATATTCGCCATTGTATGAAATCAACCGGAAGTGAACTGGGCAACAAACGGTGTCATTTTTTGATCACAGTGCCGCTCAGTGGATGAAATTTTGGGAGAGCAGAACGCCCGAATTGCCTGAACCCGATAGAAGAGCTGTTGTTGTGTTCCAGGTGAGTGGGAACAAGATGACGGCTCCAAACTTAGCCGTGATCTTCGGCCCAAACCTGCTGCAGAAGGAGAAGAGCTCAGAGTGTCCCCTCAGTCTGAACATCGAGGACAGTGGAGCCATTATCAACGTCACACTGCTGCTGATCCAGCACCACAGGAAGCTCTTCATGGTGAGAGACACTAGCTCCTGATCACAGCACCTCAGAGACACTAGCTCCTGATGTTAGCTCTACAGAGACACTAGTGTAGCTCCTGATGACAGTACCTCAGAGACACTAGCTCCTGATGTTAGCTCTACAGAGACACTAGCTCCTGATGTTAGTTCTACAGAAACACTAGTGTAGCTCCTGATTACAGCACCTCAGAGACACTAGCTCCTGATCACAGCACCTCAGAGACACTAGCTCCTGATGTTAGCTTTACAGAGACACTAGTGTAGCTCCTGATGACAGCTCTACAGAGACACTAGTGTAGCTCCTGATGACAGCTTTAAAAATGACACTAGCTCCTAAGGACGGCTCTACAGAGACACTAGTGTAGCTCCTGATCACAGCACCTCAGAGACACTAGCTCCTGATGTCGGCTCTACAGAGACACTAGCTCCTGATGACAGCACCTCAGAGACACTAGTGTAGCTCCTGATGACAGCTCTACAGAGACACTAGCTCCCAATTACAGCACCTCAGAGACACTAGCTCCTGATGTAAGCTCTACAGACACACTGGTGTAGCTCCTGATGACAGCTCTACAGAGACACTGGTGTAGCTCCTGATGACAGCACTACAGAGACACTAGTGTAGCTCCTGATGACAGCTCTACAGAGACACTAGTGTAGCTCCTGATGACAGCTTTACAAATGACACTAGCTCCTGAGGACGGCTCTACAGAGACGGCTTTACAATAGACACTAGCTCCTGATGGCAGCTCTACAGAGACACTAGTGTAGCTCCTGATGAGAGCTTTTCAGAGACACTAGTGTAGCTCCTGATGAGAGCTTTTCAGAGACACTAGTGTAGCTCCTGATGAGAGCTTTTCAGAGACACTAGTGTAGCTCCTGATGAGAGCTTTTCAGAGACACTAGTGTAGCTCCTGATGACAACTTTTCGGAGACCTAGTGTAGCTCCTGATGAGACACTAGCTTCTGATGTCTCTGTCCTGTTGCAGGTTTCCTCTGAGCTCCAGCAGGAGGTGCTGATGAGTCTGCTCCAAACCGACCCTGACATTGTCGACTACCTGCTGAAGAGGAAACGCAGGTAACTCACTCTACGGAAAAACTCTCATTTTTACGTTTTAAAGGATACATTTTGCTCATTTGTAATCAGAAAAAACATAAAACTGTGAAAGCTATAACTAAAGGAGGATCTTTGTTTACATCAGCGTGTGCCACTCACTGGGTGGAAAGAAGACAGAGCGACACATACAGAAGCAACCTTTAACATGTAACACTTCTGTCTTTTGCACAATCTGAGTGATTCTGTCTGTGCCAAATGTGACATTTAAATTTCTCCAGTGTGAGATCAATAAAGTCTATCTTATCTTATCTTATGGATGCAACGAGTACTTTTAAAGGCCTCGGTGGGCGATGTGCACTATAAATAAGAACTTGAACGCAAGAAAATTTAAGCAGATGATTGAAGAAGATGAGCTAAGAATACATTTATGAGACCGAACTGAACAAATTCAAAGCCCAGATGAGACCGGGGAGGACCACCAACGGTCAGACTCGCCTCTGGCACCGATCTGCGAGAATTTTTTTCCCGGGACCCTTCACACAAGAAAAGTTCAAGGCCTTTAAAATGTGGAGGCCTATGATCATTTTGTTTCTAGAAAGGTTTCCCAGTGGGATTCACATCTGCCGTGGGTGATTACGAAGGAAAATAGAGAATTCTGTTGATCCCGGAATCCAGGTTTCTTTTGAGCGCTCATTCTCCTGATCACCCGTAACAGTTTTGCGTTTTTTGTTGCTCTTTTCTGAAGGAATTCAGTCAAAAAACCCAGCGAGCCGACCACACAACAACAGTGGATCCTTTGATTAAGTGAAGCCTCTCTCCAAACATCTAAAACTAGCTAATTCTCTAGCATCCAGGTAGCTTTTGCTGCTGTTTTGCCAGCCAGTCATTTGACCAGCGCGGGAAAACTATAAACAACAACTTCACTTAAAGATCCTATTGCAATCTGTCTCTGGCTTTAAACACAATTTTCTGAAACATTGTGCGGTGGGTAGTAGTTTCCACAGAGCTGGTTTGTGCGTCAGAGTATACATTTTTAAATGATATTTTGCAGCTATGTGGGTCCCAGTATTGACCTTTGTGGTACCCCACATGTCCGTACTTAAACTATTCTATGTTTAATCAACCATATCTTGTCGTTTTGAAATTGTATGAAATCTAATTGAAAGTCCCCTGTGTCGAGATGTTTATTACATCAGAAACCCCCCTAGTTACAATAACACAGGGGCAATGTGCTCTCTGTTAGAACCACTGAAACCACACATTAATCCTCTCTGCTGCAGTGCTCCGGTCTCTGCCTCCAGCTCCCGGCGGGACACTGGGGCCTCTCTGGACTCGGTGGGTGGAGCTTCGTTGGACTCAGTGGGCGGAGCTTCCCTGGATTCAGTGGGTGGAGCTTCCCTGGACTCGGTGGGCGGGGCTTCCCTGGACTCGGTGGCTTTGGCTGCGCCCTCTCCTCTGACCGCAGACGAGTTATTGGACGTTCTGAAGCAGAGAAGTCGACACCAGCGAAGGACAGGTGAGAGACAAGAGAGAGACCAGAGAGAGACCAGACAGAGACCAGAGTGACCAGAGAGTGACCAGAGAGAGACCGGAGAGAGACCAGAGTGACCAGAGTGACCAGAGAGAGACCCGGGAGACCAGAGTGACCAGAGAGAGAAAAGAGAGCGATCAGAGTAACCAGAAATAGGAGAGAGACACAAGGAAGACAAAATAAAGAGAACAGAGAGAAAGACCAAAGAGAGGGACAAGAGAGACTAGAGGGAGACTCAAGAGAAACTACAGGGAGACTAGAGGGAGACCAGAGAGAGGCCAGAGAGAGACCAGAAAGAGAGACTAGAGACCAACCAGAAAAAGAGAAGAGCTAGTAGAAAGACACAAGGTAGATGTCACAGGTTTAAAAGAGTCTGTTGAGGGGGTGTGATCAATAAAAAGCAAACGGGATGAAAAGGGGATGAACATTTAATAAAGTATATACAAAAAGAATCCATTAAAAAGAAGATAAAAACCCAGAGTCCACTCGTCCGCCTCAGTCCTCGCTATCTCGTCCCTCTCTGTCCCGGGACCGGGCCGCGGTCTCGCCAGCCACACCACACGCCAACCACAGGTCGCTACCGGGCACCCGCCCTCCCCGCTGGCCTCAGTCCCCCGTGGTCTCTGGCTGGCAGTGCTCCTCCTTTGGCCCGGATCCGGTGTCCTCCTCTCTCGTCCTCTCTCGCTCTCCCTGTCTCCTGTTCTGCCGTGTCCGCCCCCAATTTATAGTCTTGATTAAAAACAGGTGTGGGTAAATAGGGGAAGTGTCCAAGGAACCAGCGATTAAAATGCATGCATAAAACCATAAAAACACACAAAACACAAAAAAGCGGTTAAAAGTCCTTATAAAAGTCCACTTTCCCACATAGACACCAAAGAAGGACAGGTGAGAGACAAGAGAGTGACCAGAGTGACCAGAGAAAGACCAGAAGGAGGAGAGAGACATGAGGGAGACCAGAGAGAGACCAGAGAGAGACCAGAGAGAGACCAGAGAGAGACCAGAGAGAGACCAGAGAGAGACCAGAGAGAGACCAGAGAGAGACCAGAGAGAGACCAGAGAGAGACCAGAGAGAGACCAGAGAGAGACCAGGGAGAGACCAGAGAGAGACCAGAGAGAGACCAGAGAGAGACCAGAGAAAGACCAGAAGGAGGAGAGAGACATGAGGGAGACCAGAGAGAGACCAGAGAGAGACCAGAGAGAGACCAGAGAGAGACCAGAGAGAGACCAGAGAGAGACCAGAGTAACTTATAATATATAACTATACTGTGTGTGGAGCCGAGCGGTAGAAGCTGTTCATCAATCATCCCGTTGTCTTTGTGCAGGTGACGTCTCTGCTCGCCGCTCCATCTTCCACCTGCGACAGTTTCACTCCCATCACAACCTGCTGAGCCTGGTGCCCTCCTCCCCCACCTCCCCCTCCTCCCCCTGTGCTGTGGGGGAGCAGGGGGAGCAGGGCGTGTGGGTCAAACAGAGCCCTCAGGACCCCCTCTCACACTCAGACTTCTGGGGCTTCTTCAGCGGGAAAGTCTCCGGCTCCGAGACCGTGGTGTGACTCTGGGGAGATAAAGGTTTGACATGTGGCAGAAAGACCAGACCGGAAAGAGAGCAGAAAAAGACCAGAGAGAAACCTGAGAGAGACCAGAGAGAGACCAGAGAGAGACCAGAGAGAGACCAGAGAGACCACAGAGAGACCACAGAGAGACCAGAGAGAGACCAGAGAGAGACCAGAGAGAGACCACAGAGAGACCACAGAGAGACCACAGAGAGACCAGAGAGAGACCAGAGAGAGACCAGACATCAGCGACAAGAGGAAGACCAGAGCCAGACCAGTGGGAGACCGAGAGTAGAGAAACCAGAAACACCAGAGAGACCAGAGGGAGACCAGAGGGAGACCAGAGGAAGACCAGAGACACACACACACACTACAACCTTCTCTCTCAACCAGCTCTGTCTGGAGGAACGGGCCAGAATTCCACACAACAAGACGCTTGTGGGGAGGAGCCAAGTCAAAAGGTTTTAAAGGCAATTCTCCTGAATCCTAAAACATATATATAAACTTTTGACTTTCAGGGATCTGTTGATAGAGCACATTTAAAGCTGGGGTACATAACTTTCAAACCACAACAATGGAAAACCTTTCGCTTCTATCAATAGTCTTCAAATATTGACTCACAGGGCTCTGGAGTGGTCTGATTTGTGCACAATATTTTACTCTGACTCTTTCTACACGTGTTGTTCATTTGACTACATTTACGTACCCCAGCTTTAAAACAGTCGAAGCGTATCAAAGCGCTGAACAAGAAGAGCGACGTAAAGATCAACTGGTGCCAAATGCCGTAGAGAAAAGTGGCGTAAAAGCGATTCATCCATAAACATGTCCGTCCGTTTGCAGAAGTCTGTTTAGAATATGTAGTCTGTGAACTAGGGGTGGGAGAAAGTGTGACGACTCGATAGTATTGCGATATTTTGGCCACATTTCAATATTATCGTGATTTTTCCGATTTGATTCTGTGATATATTGTGATTCATGTCCCAAATATTATTCAAAGACATTGCAAACATTGAGAAGCACATTTATTCTTTGAGTTTTTGACAAGCGCTATAGAAAAGACTCTGATTTGCGGTCTGATATTTTCCCATCTCGGACCGTTACCATGACAATTGGTCCGCAGCGCGTATAACATTTGAAATCTATTCTCGGTAAAAAAAGAAATTATGAGCGACGACTGGGAGAATTCTTCAGTGAATTCTATTATCCGGACGAGTTCGACGAGCCAGAGAAAGTGATAACAGCAAAAAACGACGAAAACACAACTCCTAACAGTCAAGAGGAGATTGACAACATTGTTACAGACCAGAAAGGTAAAAGCAGGATTAGGAAAACCAAGTCGGACATGAACATACTTCACAAATATCTAAAAAGCATTGGTATCTAAGAAATATCAGACCTTCAGACGGTCTGATATTTCTCTGTACAGACCTCGCGCTCGTTTAATAAGCCGTTAATATCAAACACTGAGGAGGGTTCTGCAAAAATTATAAAAAAATCCTTACTACAGACAAGACATGATTATTCTCTTATAGACAACTCTCACATGAAGGTGAGCTCCCAACGGTCTCCAATCTTTTCGGAGAGATACTTTTACACAAAAAAAGTGGCAGTGCGTTACTCCTTTAATTACTCCACATTAAAGCAAAAAATCTATGAAATAATCACGACAAGAACGAACACACACAGAGAACACATTTAAAATATACCATAATTCTGTATAACCCCATATTTATACTCATATGTCAAGACTCAAAGTGAATTAAGTCAGTATTATGTGTTCATTTCTAAATCCTCGGGGAGCTACCTGAAAGGGGCTGGCGACTGGTAGCTTCCAAGCAGCAGTTGGAGACCCCTGGACAAGAGTAACAAAAAAAGCAGACTTTCGCCTCAGATGTTAATTACACCAAAAAGCACAAAAGTGAAAGATTATTTAAAATATCGCAATACTTTGTTCTGTTGTATCGATTAAATCACGTGTGGAAAATATCGCGATACTAAACAGAGTTGATATTTCCCTCCCACACTATTGTCTACAGTGACGTTTATTTAATGTTTCTGTGAATGTCTGTCTCTGTATTTAAACTTTTACATTTTGCACTTCCAGAACTCTGTAAATATCACGATGCAGTACGACCGTGGAGCACTTATACTTTAGTCCAATGAGACTCACTGATTCTAACGTGTTTCTTTATGTTGTAAATATATTTTTAGTTCATTTTGTTTCTGTACAAATGAAATAAAAGCTCTTTTCTACACGTGACAGGAGTGTAGTTCCTCTGTTCTACCAGCAGAGGGCAGCGCTGGTTTGTTTTCTGCTTTAGCCCCACACTGGGATCACAGTGTGGTGGAGGAGACATTATTCCATTCAATTTTTCTTGTCGATTCGCAATAATAATAAAACCACAGAGCCATTGTCATGAGGAGCAGAGACCAATGTACCATAAATGTCCTGGATCATCATTGTCTTGAGACCATCAACAACAACAACCAAAGCTAGTGCGCTAAAGTTTGTATGATTTGGTTTTATATATTTTTTTCTTTACACTAAAACAGGTTTGAAGAGATCACAGCTGTATACACTGGTTAAGAGAGTTTCAGAGGAGATCAGCTTCTCAGAGAGACCAGATATCAGGAGAGGGCAGAGAGAGGGAGACCAGAGAGAGACCAGAGAGGGAGATCAGAGAGAGAGACCTGGAAGAGAGAGACCAGAGAGGGACCAGAGAGGGACCAGAGAGAGAGACCAGAGGGAGACCAGAGAGAGAGACGAGAGGGAGAGACCAGAGAGAGAGAGACCAGAGAGGGAGATCAGAGAGAGAGACCTGGAAGAGAGAGACCAGAGAGGGACCAGAGAGAGGGAGACCGGAGAGGGAGAGACCAGAGAGAGACCAGAGGGAGAGACCAGAGAGAGAGACCAGAAACGAAAGAGACAGAAACGAAAGAGACCAGAAACCAGAGAGAGAGAACAAGGAGGAACCACAGAGAGACTAGATCTATAAATTCATATTTTAGCCATAGGAACCAGCGCTGATGTACTGTTTGAGGTTGAGTCACAGCTGCAGTTGTCTCAGGGCGTCACAGAATTGTCGATTCACCAACAGCAGATCAGAAAATCAAAGAATCAGTGTTTAAGACAAGAATACATCTGTGACACATTGGTTCATAAACTCACAGTCCCACCACAGAGCTTTACATTCACACTGTGAGGAGGTGAGAGAGGAGACATACAGGCAACCAGGTGCAACCAGCTGCAACGTGCAACCAGCTGCAACCAGGTGTAACCAGCTGCAACCAGCTGCAACCAGGTGTAACCAGCTGCAACCAGGTGTAACCAGCTGCAACCAGGTGCAACCAGGTGAACCAGCTGCAACCAGGTGTAACCAGCTGCAACCAGCTGCAACCAGGTGTAACCAGCTGCAACCAGCTGCAACCAGGTGCAACCAGCTGCAACCAGGTGCAACCACTGCAACCAGGTGTACCAGCTGCAACCAGCTGCAACCAGCTGCAACCAGTGAACAGCTGCAACCAGCTGCAACCAGGTGTAACCAGCTGCAACCAGGTGTAACCAGCTGCAGTGTAACCAGCTGCAACCAGGTGCAACCAGGTGTAACCAGCTGCAACCAGGTGTAACCAGCTGCAACCAGCTGCAACCAGGTGTAACCAGCTGCAACCAGGTGCAACCAGCTGCAACCAGGTGCAACCAGCTGCAACCAGGTGTAACCAGCTGCAACCAGCTGCAACCAGCTGCAACCAGCTGCAACCAGCTGCAACCAGGTGTAACCAGCTGCAACCAGGTGTAACCAGCTGCAACCAGGTGTAACCAGCTGCAACCAGGTGCAACCAGCTGCAACCAGGTGTAACCAGCTGCAACCAGGTGTAACCAGCTGCAACCAGGTGTAACCAGCTGCAACCTCTGTGACTCTCCCTTCATCCCCAGAGGCTTGGAGCCCCCCCCCCCCTGGTTTTCTGGTTTCTTGAGGTGAAGAGAAACACGTGTCTTCACTTCACACTTGGGCAGATGCTCAGAGTCGTCTCCACGGATCAGAAAAAAAACACCTTTTACATATTTTAGAAATCTAGGACTTAAGGCTGGAACTTCTTCACACAGAGACTCTGAAACTGTAGTAACGAACACAAACATGTTATTTAACTAATTACAGTATTTGTACTGTATATCGTAACGTTTGCAGTTGGACCAAATCTATTTATTTATTCTTATTGTTTGTCTCATTATGCATTTAGTACCGTACCATATCTTTATATAACTGCAATTCATCCCTTATTTTATCCACCTACAGGTTAAAACTTACCATTATTTATCCAGTATGATGCTCCACACACACACCCACACACACACATACACACACACACACACTTTTTGAACAAAACTCTCTGGTCTTATTTGACGAGCACAAATCACCCGAATGATTGACAGTTGGACCAATAGTCTTGATGATCCACTCAGAAGTAGAAAATGTAGTCCTCCTAGACTACAGTTGGAAACCAGCTGCATCACTAAAAACCACACATTTACAGTAATGTTGACTACTGTGTACTATAAAAAAATTAAATAGTATAGAAATCTGAATTAACATGAAATACTTATAAGAGCAAGTAATTAACCAAATCTCAACTCTTGGTTCAAATACAGCCCATGTTATCTGTTGTTGTGTGCATTACGCTGATGTCTTCCACAATATCTGTCTCAACAAACAGTGTGTCCAGAACAGAGCAGACTGTGTGTGTGTCAGAGTGTAGCAGCGTCAGAAAGACAGAAGAGAAGCCTTGAACCACACATGTCCCTTCTGACTTCATTGTTTCATGTCTAGAGTAGATCTGTCTTTGTTTACGCTGGTCCATTTAATGTCTGGTCATTTCCTGATTCAGGGCAGACTCAGATTCAGAGCGTGCTGCAGGTGGTATCCGGTCCTTTTGATTTGTATATGTCACATTTACTAAAGAATAAACTCACACTTTGATTGTGTTACAGCTTTTGATTGTTGACATTGTTTTAGCTCTCGGCCTGAGCAGAAATGATTCAACACACCTTTAACTTTAGCACATTTTGTTTATAACCATAAACATGAAGATCACTCATATATAGCCCGTATTTTTACAGACCAATGTCACCCAAAGCACTTTACAATGTTCAGAGTGTGTTCAGATATTCTTCTCTCTCCACACGGTGAGGACGGAAGCGAGACGCCGAACACACTGGACCATCAAAGCCTCCGACACCATCAATTCACTCATTCATTACATTCATAACTATTGTACATGATTTCCCCTACCATTAGTGGTAGGGGAAATCAGAGCAGACACGGGGAGAACATGTAAACCCTTCTCTTCTCTCTTCCGGGTCCTGGATTCGAACCCAGGACCTTCCACTGGTTGTACACTTGACCAAATGTGCAAAAGTTTGAGTTGTATGAATACTTTTGCAGGACACTGTATACAAATCCATCCCCCCAGGTGTGGCTCAGCATGAAGGTTCCTGGTCCGAGGGTTCCTAACAGAGCCTTTCTGTGTGGCGTGTGCATGTTATCCCTGTGCTTGCGTTTCCTCCAGGTGCTCCGGTTCCCCCACCCTCACAAGAAATAATGTGTGTGTGCGTGTGACTGTGGGACAATCACACAGTTAGTTGTTCCAACCAAATAAATACTGTGACTCACTTCTCCTTCCCAGGTTTGTATTCTGTTCACTCATTAGCTGCTGGATATTGGCAGGAACTGGATCACGCTGTTGAACGCGGCGATCCAGAACGTCCTAAACCCAAGATCAGGTTTCCAGGCTTTATGACCTCTCAGGCCCACACATGTTTTTACTATTGTTATCATTATGATGAGTTTATGACCACAGATGTCCCCAGCTCAAAGCCTGAGGACCAGAAAAAACCCAGTCTGGACCGGTCTCTGCCTCAGGCCGCCTCCGTCTACACCATAAATACTTTACTACCAGCAAACTGCAGCTTTTTGCACCGTACATAACCAGCTCATAGGTCATCGGGGTAAACATATATCGTTTTCTTCTCCAGGCCCAGTCTGCTGCTAAGAGCAAGATCAGAGAGACTAGAAAGACACCAGAGAGAGCAGAGAGAGATGAGAGACCAGAAAGATTAGAGAGGCCAGAAACAGAGAGATACCAGAGAGACTCGAGAGAGAGATTAGAGAGAGACCAGAGAGATACCAGAGAGACTAGAGAGAGATTAGAGAGAGACCAGAGAGATACCAGAGAGACTCGAGAGAGATTAGAGAGAGACCAGAGAGATACCAGAGAGACTAGAGAGAGATTAGAGAGAGACCAGAGAGATACCAGAGACTAGAGAGAGATTAGAGAGAGACCAGAGAGATACCAGAGAGACTCGAGAGAGATTAGAGAGAGACCAGAGAGATACCAGAGAGACAAGAGAGAGATTAGAGAGAGACCAGAGAGATACCAGAGACTAGAGAGAGACCAGAGAGATACCTGAGAGACTAGAGAGACCAGAGCGAGCAGAAACAGAGAGAGACCAGAGAGACTAGAGCGAGATTAGAGAGAGACCGGAGCGAGCAGAAACAGAGAGAGACCAGAGAGACTAAAGAGGGAACAGAGACAGACCAAAGGGACTAGAGAGAGACCAGATCGACTAGAGAGAACGGAGAGACCAGAAACAGAGAGAGACCATAAAGACTAAAGAGGGAACAGAGAGAGAACAGAGCGACTAGAGAGAGACCAGAGAGACTAGAGAGGCCAAAGACTAGACAGGCACCAGAGACTAGAGACAGACCAGATAGGCTCGAGAGAGAACAGAGAGACCAGAAACAGATCGAGAACAGAGACAAGAGAGGCGATAGACTAGAAAGAGACCAGAGAGACTAGAGAGAAACCACAGACAGAGAGAGGGCAGAGAGACTAAAGAGACCAGAAACCAGACCAAAACAATGAAACCCATGCAGAGGGACTGTGTGGTTCATCACGATGGCTAATCTGCTCCAAATACACTTCTACTGTCAGTATAGCTTTCCCCTGTGCTCTTAAATGCACCTGCTGGCCGTGTCTCCGGTCTCTCACACCTAATTCACAGCACACGGGTTGACATGAGTCTGGTTCTATAACATCAAACGGAACAAAAGGAGAGAGATCCGGAGTCCCCAGCGTTTCTCTGGGTTGTTACTCCTCAGAGCGCTCGTCTGTGGAAGTCTCAGAGTGGATTATCTGCTGTCACTGCCCATTGACCTGAATGTGTTTGACGAGCTCCTAATCCCAACGCAGACTTTCCCCCAGAGACAAGACATCTCAATTAAACCTAAACTCTTCACATGTTTCCCCTGGAGGCCTGTATACCACTACTAAGCTACTACAAGTACAGTACAAGAGACTCAATTCCCAGGCTCAAACTACAGACCCCCAGCTTCACAGAGAGTCCAGAGATTAGTTTAAGATTATATCCCAGAGATATGAGGGGCTAAAACTACATGAGCTGTACTGGATTTTGTCGTGTGGTGAGCAGTGGGGCGGGTCCTGGCTCCAAAAGGTCCATGAGCACGTGGTCTGACATGCATGCAATACCACTCCAGGTTGGCGGGGGTGTACCCGGAATAAGAATTACCCAATGCTTTTGTATGGTGTCTTCTTTCCTCTCGAAAACGGCTTTACAGGATGGTCCAAAAGTCGCTCTTGGCCCAAAGCTACGTTCCTGATGCTGTCAATGCTGAGGGGAGTTTTTATTTGTTGGACCAGTCTAGTTTAGCCGCTGTGGACTTCAGAAGGCACTTGCTCATGAATGGGGCTGGTGCCGGCTGACACATGCGCAAATGCATTTTTTTCACATTTACCTGCCCCTGCGGCCATTTTGAAAAAGCCCACAGAAGGCACAAGTAGTGGCACATTAGTTTGAACGGCGGAGATAGGCGTGACCACATCCCTTAATGTTTACAGTCTATGGTGGTGACATGAAGCAACAGAGACACAGGTACATGTAGACAAAGACACAGGTACCTATAGACAGAGACACAGGTACATATAGACACAGACACAGGTGCATATAGACAGAGACACAGGTACATATAGACAGAGACACAGGTACATATAGACAGAGACACAGGTACATATAGACAAAGACACAGGTACATAAAGACAGATACACAGGTACATATAGACAGAGACACAGGTACATATAGACAGATACACAGGTACATATAGACAAAGACACAGGTACATGTAGACAGATACACAGGTACATATAGACAGATACACAGGTACATATAGACAAATATACAGGTACATATAGACAAAGACACAGGTACATATAGACAGAGACACAGGTACATATAGACAGAGATACAGGTACATATAGACAAAGACACAGGTACCTATAGACAAAGACACAGGTACATATAGACAGAGACACAGGTACCTATAAACAGAGACACAGGTACATATAGACAGAGACACAGGTACATATAGACAAAGACACGGATACATATAGACAGAGACACAGGTACATATAGACAAAGACACAGGTACATATAGACAGATACACAGGTACATGTAGACAGATACACAGGTACATATAGACAGAGACACAGGTACATATAGACAGATACACAGGTACATATAGACAAAGACACAGGTACATAAAGACAAAGACACAGGTACATATAGACAGAGACACAGGTACATATAGACAGAGACACAGGAACATAAAAACAAAGACACAGGTACATATAGACAGAGACACAGGTACATATAGACAGAGACACAGGTACATATAGACAAAGACACAGGTACATATAGACAGAGACACAGGTACATATAGACAGAGACACAGGTACATATAGACAGAGACACAGGTACATATAGACAAAGACACAGATACATATAGACAGAGACACAGGTACATATAGACAAAGACACAGGTACATATAGACAGATACACAGGTACATGTAGACAGATACACAGGTACATATAGACAGAGACACAGGTACATATAGACAGATACACAGGTACATATAGACAAAGACACAGGTACATAAAGACAAAGACACAGGTACATATAGACAGAGACACAGGAACATAAAAACAAAGACACAGGTACATATAGACAGAGACACAGGTACATATAGACAGAGACACAGGTACATATAGACAAAGACACAGGTACATATAGACAGAGACACAGGTACATATAGACAGAGACACAGGTACATATAGACAGATACACAGGTACATATAGACAGAGACACAGGAACATAAAAACAAAGACACAGGTACATATAGACAGAGACACAGGTACATATAGACAGATACACAGGTACATATAGACAAAGAAAAAGGTACATAAAAACAAAGACACAGGTACATATAGACAGAGACACAGGTACATATAGACAGAGACACAGGTACATATAGACAAAGACACAGGTACATATAGACAGAGACACAGGTACATAAAAACAAAGACACAGGTACATATAGACAAAGATACAGGTACAGATACGTCCCCAGCCCAGTGGACACCGCCCAGTGGACACTTTCTCCGGCTGCCCCGGGCCCTCCTGCCCCCGCATCCCCAGCCCCCACCTCGGACAGTACATCCCAGTCCCCCCCCCTCTCCATCACACCGGACCAGGTGAGGAGTCAGCTCCAGCGCCTGAAGCTGAGGAAATCCGCAGGACCGGACGGGATCAGTCCCAGGCTGCTGAGGACCTGTGCAGACCAGCTCTCTGGGGTCCTCAGCTACATGTACAACCTGAGCCTCAGCCTGGAGAAGGTCCCTGTCCTGTGGAAGACCTCCTGTGTGATCCCGGTTCCAAAAACAGCACACGCCAAGGAACCGGCTCACTACAGACCAGTCGCACTGACCTCCCACCTGATGAAGACCATGGAGCACTGACCTCCCACCTGATGAAGACCATGGAGCACTGACCTCCCACCTGATGAAGACAATGGAGCGGCTCATCCTCACCCATCTCCGCTCCGTGGTCAGCCCCACCCTGGACCCGCTGCAGTTCGCCTACAGACCCAACATCGGAGTAGAGGACGCCGTCATCTACTTCCTGCAGCGGACGCTCTCCCACCTGGAGCCCGCCGGGAGCGCTGTGAGGGTCATGTTTTTCGACTTCTCCAGCGCTTTCAATACCATCAGGCCGGCACTGCTGCGGGGGAAGATGGAGGACGCGGGAGTGGACAGTAGCCTCACTGCATGGACCATCAACTACCTCTCAGACCGACCACAGTACGTGCGGCTGCGCAGCTGTGAGTCTGAGGTGGTCGTCTGCAGCACTGGGGCCCCTCAGGGCACTGTCCTCTCACCGTTTCTCTTCACCATCTACACCTCAGACTTCACACACGACACACACAGCTGTCACCTGCAGAAGTTCTCCCACGACTCCGCCATCGTGGGCTGTGTGTCTGAGGGGAACGAACTGGAATATCGGTCGGTTATCAAGGACTTTGTCGACTGGTGCGAGCGCAACCACTTGTGCTTGAACACCAGTAAGACCAAGGAGATGATCATCGACTTCAGGAGGAAACCACTTTCCCACACGCTGCTGAACATCCAGGGGGAGGACATTGAGCTGGTGGACAGCTTCAAGTACCTGGGTGTTCACATTAACAATAAACTGGACTGGTCCCATAATACAAACGCCCTGCACAAGAAGGGCCAAAGTCGCCTCTTCCTTCTGAGGAGGCTGAGGTCCTTCGGAGTGAGCAGGCCTCTGCTCAGGACTTTTTATGACTCTGTGGTAGCTTCTGCCATTTACTACGCTGCCGTGTGCTGGGCCCCGGGCAGCACAGAGCGGGACAGAAACAGACTGAACAAGCTGGTCAGGAGGGCCAGCTCCACTCTGGGCTGCTCCCTGGACTCTGTGGAGGAGGTGAGGGACAGGAGGCCCCTGGACTCTGTGGAGGAGGTGAGGGACAGGAGGGTGCTAGCCAAAGCCACCTCCATCATGAACAATACCTCCCACCCACTGCACAGGACTGTAGAGGAGCTGAGGAGCTCCTTCAGTGGAAGACTGAGGCACCCTCAGTGTAGGAAGGAGCGCTACCGCAGGACCTTTATCCCCACCGCTGTCAGACTGTACAATAAGTCACTTTAAATGATCACTGTGTGAAAACCTGCACTACTATTGACACTGTTTCCAATTGACACTTGTCACTTTTGTTGTACATAATTATTGTCACTTTATTGTACATATATCCTGCATGTAACATGTTTGCACATTTCCTCCCTTTGCAAAATCTGAGTGTCTCTATCCATGCCAAATGTGACATGTAAATTTCTCCTCTGTGAGATAAATAAAGCAATCTTATCTTATCTTATCTTATCTTATCTTATAGACAAAGACACAGGTACATATAGACAGAGACACAGGTACATATAGACAAAGACACAGGTACATAAAGACAAAGACACAGGTACATATAGACAGAGACACAGGTACATATAGACAGAGACACAGGTACCTATAAACAGAGACACAGGTACATATAGACAAAGATACAGGTACATATAGACAAAGACACAGGTACATATAGACAGAGACACAGGTACATATAGACAGAGACACAGGTACATATAGACAGAGACACAGGTACCTATAGACAGAGACACAGGTACATATAGACAAAGATACAGGTACATATAGACAAAGACACAGGTACATATAGACAGAGACACAGGTACATATAGACAGAGACACAGGTACATATAGACAGAGATACAGGTACATATAGACAAAGATACAGGTACATATAGACAGAGACACAGGTACATATAGACAGAGATACAGGTACATATAGACAGAGACACAGGTACCTATAGACAGAGACACAGGTACATATAGACAAAGATACAGGTACATATAGACAAAGACACAGGTACATATAGACAGAGACACAGGTAGATATAGACAGAGACACAGGTAGATATAGACAAAGAAAAAGGTACATAAAAACAAAGACACAGGTACATATAGACAGAGACACAGGTACATATAGACAGAGACACAGGTACATATAGACAGAGACACAGGTACATATAGACAAAGACACAGGTACATATAAACAAAGACACAGGTACATATAGACAGAGACACAGGTACATATAGACAAAGACACAGGTACATATAAACAAAGACACAGGTACATATAGACAGAGAGACAGCCACCAATTTAGTCAGCCACCGATTGTGCAAGTTCTCCGACTTAAAATAATGACAGAGGTCTGTAAATTTCATCATAGGTACACTTCAACTGTGAGAGACAGAATGTGAAAAAAAATCCAGGAATTCACATTGTAGGATTTTTAAATAATTTATTTGTAAATTATGGTGGAAAATATGTATTTGGACAAAAACAATACTTTGTAAAATAACCTTTGTTGGCAATACCAGAGGTCAAACGATTACTATAGGTCTTTACCAGGTTTGCACACACAGTAGCTGGTATTTTGGCCCATTCCTCCATGTTTCGGGCTGTCGCCGAGCAACACGGACTTTCAACTCCCTCCACAGATTTTGTATGGGGTTGAGGTCTGGAGACTGGCAAGGCCACTCCAGGACTTTCAAATGCTTCTTACGGAGCCACTCCTTCGTTCCCCGGGCGTTGTGTTTGGGATCATTGTCATGCTGGAAGACCCAGCCACGTTTCATCTTCAAAGCTCTCACTGATGGAAGGAGGTTTTGGCTCAAAATCTCACGATACATGGCCCCATTCATTCTTTCCTTAACACGGATCAGTCGACCTGTCCCCTTAGCAGAAAAACAGCCCCAAAGCATGACGTTTCCACCCCCATGCACCACAGTAGGTATGGTGTTCTTGGGATGCAACTCAGTATTCTTCTTCCTCCAAACACGACGAGTTGAGTTTAAACCAAACAGTTCTACTTTGGTTTCATCTGACCACATGACATTCTCCCAATCCTCTGCTGTATTATCCATGTGCTCTCTGGCAAACTTCAGACGGGCCTGGACATGCACTGGCTTCAGCAGGGGGACACGTCTGGCACTGCAGGATTTGATTCCCTGTCGTCGTAGTGTTACTGATGGTAACCTTTGTTACTTTGGTCCCAGCTCTCTGCAGGTCGTTCACCAGGTCCCCCCGTGTGGTTCTGGGATTTTTGATCACCGTTCTCATGATCATTTTGACCCCACGGGATGAGATCTTGCGTGGAGCCCCAGATCGAGGGAGATTATCAGTGGTCTTGTATGTCTTCCATTTTCTGATAATTGCTCCCACAGTTGATTTGTTCACACCAAGCTGATTGCCTATTGTAGATTCACTCTTCCCAGTCTGGTGCAGGTCTACAATTATTTTTCTGGTGTCCTTCGACAGCTCTTTGGTCTTGGCCATAGTGGAGTTTGGAGTCTGACTGTTTGAGGCTGTGGACAGGTGTCTTTTATACAGATAACCAGTTCAAACAGGTGCCATTAATACAGGTAACGAGTGGAGGACAGAGGAGCTTCTTAAAGAAGAAGTTACAGGTCTGTGAGAGCCAGAGATCTTCTTTGTTCGAAGTGACCAAATACTTATTTTCCACCATAATTTACAAATGCATTCTTTAAAAAACCTACAATGTGATTTTTTTTCACATTCTGTCTCTCACAGTTGAAGTGAACCTATGATGAAAATTACAGACCTCTGTCATTATTTTTAGTGGGAAAACTTGCACAATCGGTGGCTGACTAAATACTTTTTTGCCCCACTGACACAGAGACACAGGTACATATAGACACTTAAGGTTTTTAATTACTGGTGTTATTTTATTTTTAATCTTTTTAATCTTGTGTTCTAATTCTGTTTTTTAATGTTTATGTAGATTGTATTGTTTAATGAGTTATGCCTGATGTGATGTGGGTTCTGAGGCGCAAAGCAACATTGCCTTGTGTAGGAAAGGTGCTCTACGAATAAAAAGTTGATAGATGGTTTTCAGCCAATCAACTCTCAGCCCAAAGAGTCAAATAGTGACTCACAGGGCTCTTTCTTACACGGAAGGTCACATGGTTTATAATAAAATGAAGACAGCAGGGTGTGGTCTGATTTGTTCACATTTGACTTTGACAGAACTCTTTCTGTTGGAATAAATGTTATTTATGAAGCTATAAACATTTGTGATTTCTTTTAAGAAGAGCCCTTTAAGCTCCTCCCCCAGAGGCAGGGGGAGTCTCTGGGGGTCGTCTGCATGAGGGCAGTCCGAAGGGGAAGGGGGGGAGAGAGGGGGTGGAGTGGTAAGAAGGGGAGGGGGGGAAGAGGGGGAGGAGACTTCTGCACATGGACGCTTCCCAAAACTCAAACACATTTTCACTCTTTCCTCATCTCCTCCACACACTGGGACCGGAGACCAGAGACCAGAGACCAGGGACCAGAGACCAGAGACCAGGGACCAGAGACCAGAGACCAGAGACCAGAGATTTGAGACCAAAGACCAAATACCAGAGACTAGCTAGAGACCACAGAGAGACCAGGTCAGATCTTTTGGTCAGGAACCAGAAGACAGGTTCCATTAACCAGAGACTCAAGGCCAAAGACCCGGAGACCAGGGACCAAGGACTCTGGATATCTGCGGAGCTGGGACCATAGACCAGGCCAGGTCTGGACCAGAGAGACCAGGTCAGATCTGGGAGCTGGAGCTGCTGGTGTAGGAGTACAGCTGGTTCCCCTCTGCTCCTCTGGGACTCTCTGGACTCACACGCTGCAGAAGCCGCGGTCCTGGAGTGAGTCACAAATCCTGAATTTCACTGTTTTTGGTTTTGGATTCTGTGAATGTTATTGTTACAGCTTCTTCCTCTGCTTTTGGAGCCAAACATCAGGAACAAGGAGCAAGGTTTATCTCAAATGTTTTCACATAAAGTCTCTGTTCAGATGGTGCTCTGTCACATCTGTAACAACTGTTTCTGTTCAGTTTCAAGTTCACACAGAGACCAGAGACCAGGGACCGGAGACCAGGGACCAGAGACCAGAGATTGGAGACCAGGGACCAGAGACCAGAGACTGAAGACCAGGGACCAGGGACTAGGGACCAGGGACCAGAGACCAGGGACCAGAGACTGAAGACCAGAAACAAGAGATCAGAGATTGGAGACCAAGTACCAGAGACAAGGAACCAGACAGAGACCAGAGACCGGGTCAGATGTGGAGCAGGGACCAGAGATCAGGAACCAGGGATTAGAAACCATGGACCAGGATCTCTTTTGTAAAGTCTCTGTTCAGGCGGTGCTTTGTGACGTCATCAAGAACGCAGACATTGATGAACACAGTCGTTCTTTCCGCAGTGTGTTGCTGGTTTGCGGGTCTTCGGTTCTACAATGACCAGTGGGGTTCCGGGCTCAAACTTCCTCCTGGTGCCGATCCCAGAGTACCCACTGCTAGACTGTGTTCCCAACCGGACCGTGAAACTTGTGGTGCTGGGGGCCAGCGGCGTCGGCAAAACCGGTACGACTCACCTATCTCCTGTCGCCGCCCACTTCCCCCTGGCCCCGCCCACTTTTCCCCACTGCTGCTACTACTAATACTACTGCTACTAGAACTACTGTGACTTTCCTACAACTACTACTACTACTGGTACCAATTTCCTCCACCTCAGTTTGGCCGTAGAAATGTAATTTTGAATAATCTTCATTAAAATTTGCTGTTTCACAAAATTAAACTAAAACACAATCTCATAATGCAAAATGACTGAGCGCAATTTTTACGTTTTTGTGTGTCTATATGTGCTATGTGTATTTGTGTATGTGCGTGTGCGTGTCTGTGTGTGTCTTTGGGAAATGTTTGTCCCTGGTTATTCCCACACGCTGGTCCTAAATAGCTCTGAAGCTTTTGAAGACTGGACTTGACAAATTGTGCCAAATGTTCCCTTCATCTGTTTGAACCTCGCTCTGACAGTTTTCCATCTGATCCTCTTCTCTCTTCTGCTGAAACTACAAATAAACTATACTTTATGAATATTATAACTCTCTGCGTTCAAGAGTCATTGCTAAATATACAGTATCTATTAATATTCCACTAACGACTTGCTCTCTCTGGTCCCTCTCTTTGGTCTCTTTCTGGTCTCTCTCAGCCTCTCTCTGGTCTCTGTGACTCTGGTATCTCCGGTCTCTCTCTCTTCTAGACTCTCTCCGGTCTCTCTCTGGTGTCTTTATGGTCTCTCTCTTTGGTCTCTTTCTGGTCTCTCTCAGCCTCTTTCTGGTCTCTCTCTCTAGTCTCTCTCTGGTCTCTGTCTGGCCTCTCTAGTCTCTCTTTGGTCTCTTTCCGGTCTCTCTCTGGTCTCTCTCAACCTCTTTCTGGTCTCTCTCTCTGGTCTCTCACTGGTCTCTCTCTGGTCTCTGTCTGGCCTCTCTAGTCTCTCTTTGGTCTCTTTCCGGTCTCTCTCTGGTCTCTCTCAGCCTCTCTCTGGTCTCTGTCTCTGGTATCTCCGGTCTCTCTCTCTTCTAGACTCTCTCCGGTCTCTCTCTGGTGTCTTTATGGTCTCTCTCTTTGGTCTCTTTCTGGTCTCTCTCAGCCTCTTTCTGGTCTCTCTCTCTGGTCTCTCTGATCTCTCACTGGTCTCTCTCTGGTCTCTGTCTGGCCTCTCTAGTCTTTCTTCGGTCTCTTTCCGGTCTCTCTCTGGTCTCTCTCAGCCTCTCTCTGGTCTCTGCGTCTCTGGTATCTCCGGTCTCTCTCTCTTCTAGACTCTCTCCGGTCTCTCTCTGGTGTCTTTATGGTCTCTCTCTTTGGTCTCTTTCTGGTCTCTATCTCTAGTCTCTCTGATCTCTCACTGGTCTCTGTCTGGCCTCTCTAGTCTCTCTTTGGTCTCTTTCCGGTCTCTCTCTGGTCTCTCTCTGGTCTCTCTCTCTAATCTCTCTGCATCTCTCTCAGCCTCTCTCTTGTCTCTCTCTGGTCTCTAGAGAAAATCTATTAATAATCCACTAATGACTTTCACTTTCTTGCGTTTAACTTAACAGAGCGAGGATGCACCCAGTGTTGTGAGAGTTTGGAGAGCTCAGACCAAGCTAGCAATCAGCATGTGTTTTTTCTCTGAGCAAAAAACATCTGTCGAATCATCTGAATATTACAGAAAGAGAAAAACAGCTGGACATTTTGGCTCTGATGAACTAGAACATGGACATTAAAACACATTAACAGATTTCAGTGTTTTCGAACTGAATAAACACGGATGACTTTTTGTCCTTGGCTCAAAGTGTAAAAGAATCGACGTTTGCTGTTTGCGCAAACTCTGACGCACTCTGGAACTGAGTCCTTTTGTTCACAAGATCCAAATGTTACAACACAGTTTAGTTTACCCTGTCTCAAGCCAGAAGATTTCTGCATTAAAGCTGAGGTATGTAACTTTCAGACCCAAACAGTAGGATCATAAACAGTTTGGTCTGCGTCCGGGTCTATGTCTGGCCTAGTTTTTAGTCTGGTCTGGGTCTGGCTTTGGCTCTGGGTCGGGGTCTGTTTTGGGTAAAGTCTACATCTGGTCTAGTTTTCACATCAGATTTTTTAGATCAGATTTTTCAGACAGAAAAGTAAAAAAAAAAAAAAAAAAAAAAAAAAGGAAGGACCACTCTCGACCAATCAGCTTTCAGCACAAAGTCAAAAAGTGACTCACAGGGACCTTTCTCACACAAACACACTTTCCGTTTGACAAACTACATGTGTTTTATATGAGACTAATGTTTCGTACCCCAGCCCTAACACTAAACTCCCAGAGCCGTCATTTTGACTGCTCCCATACAAATGAAATTCAGAGAAATTCCCCAAAATATCGTATAAGTTTTTCACCAGATTAATTAAGAGAACGCAATTCATGAAGTTGTTTTAACTTTTACTCACTTTTGATAAGAGCTAAAACCGGTCATTATAACTGCAACTGAAAAACAGCAAAACAAAGGCTGATGCTAATGCTAACTAACTGACAGCAAACAGTGCGTTGCTATGGTAACTTGCACTTAATATTCTTTGGTGGAAAATTAATGAAAGGTAGAACCACAAGACGATTATCATTATTTTTTAATACAAAATAAAGAAATAAACTAGGTAAAGATGCAGAAAAGGTTATGAAGATCACATTTATGAAACTACAAACCGTCAAACGGACTGCTCTGGGAGTTCTGGTGTTTCGGACTTAAATAGATCTAATGCCATTTCCTGTTGCAGCCCTGATCGTCCGCTTCCTGACCAAACGCTTCATCGGAGACTACGAGCCCAACACGGGTCAGTGCTGCTCTCCCAATCTGGAAACACTCAGAGAGAAGCATGAGGAGGAGATTAGAACAGTATTTACAGACACATGTCGGCACTACATGTAGCTGGATCTTAATATTACAAGACGATATGGAAAATAAAACAGAGATTATGAAATGAAATGATGTAGAGAAGCTGAATACTGTAGGAGGACGACACCCGCACTGGAAACAGCAGATTGGAGCTGACTCAAAAAGGTGTCAAATTATCTGGACTTTAAAAGGTTATAACTCAAATCATAGATGAGAGAAACGATTTCAAACACAGACATATCAAAGAGATTAACGGCTTATTAACCGAGTGCGAGGTCTTTATGGAGAAATATCAGACCGCGGCCTTAATGTACAGACCGAGCCGTGCATGACCCTCGTCTGTGTCTTTACCAGTGCTTTTGAGATATTTGTGAAGTATGTTCATGTCCGACTTGGTTTTGTGTGATACGCGCTGTTCGGACCTGGTCGGAATTGTCATGGTAACGGTCTGAGATGGGAAAATATCAGACCGGTAATCAGCCAATCAGAGCATGCGTACGGTCCAAGTCATATAATTAAGGGTGGATAATGTCAAAAGAAAAGATTGAAAAAATAATAAATAAAAGGTCCTCAGTCTGAAAAAGCGGACGTTAAACTTCCACACATTAATATCAACACAACATCAGGAAATCACTTCTTGTAGAAAAGGAATCACTTTTGAAAAATAATCAAAAACATATTTAATGACCCTTGAAAAATGTGTAATGAATGTGATGCTTTCTGTATTTATTTTTCTATCTATTAATCTATGAATCAAATGTGGATCTGAAAATATGTAAACAGCCGCTATAGAACATTTGACATTAAACGTTATAACATTAAAACAGTTCTCTTAAAACAGGGCGGCACGGTGGCTGAGTGGATAGCACTCTCGCCTCTCAGCAAGAAGGTCCTGGGTTCGAATCCCGGTCGGACCAGGGCCTTTCTGAGTGGAGTTTGCATGTTCTCCCCGTGTCTGCGTAGGTTTCCTCCGGGTATTCCGGTTTCCCCTACCACTAAAAATATGTCCAATAGTTCTGGCATGCGCCTCCTGTACTGGCGACCCCGCTCCCATCTCTGTGTGGAGTGAGAGACAAATGCCCAAAAATTAACAATTGTAAACCGCTTTTAGACTCAGATCTGCAGTGAAAAGGCGGTATATAAATAAAAACTTACTTACTTACTTACTTCTCTTCTAGCAACAGAGGAGGTATTTGGATAAATGAAAAACATAATATATATTCTGATTACTACAATCTAAGTTTTGGCCTGTTACACTTCAGTACCCTTTGGTGTGAACAAGCCCACTCACAAAGACAATAACCAAATAGAAACCCCAGTATCAACCACAGCGTTAAACCACACGTTTTTAAACCCAAAATGGTGCTTGCAGAACCAGAGGAGTTTTCTTTCCAATGTAAGTGAATGGAGCCAAAGGAGACTTCCGGTATCAGGCTACGTTGAGCTAGCATGTTAGCATTGTCCATATGGAGCTAATGGTGATGGGGAAAAGGAGAGTTTTCATATGACATGAAGCTCATTGGTTTCATTTTTGTGTGTGTCATAAATAGCTTTAGATAAATACCACACTTAGTAGTAAGTAGTAGTAGTAAGTAATCTTTATTTATATACCGCCTTTTCACTGCACATCGGAGTCTCAAAGCGGTTTACAATTGTGATTTTTGGGAGTGGGGCCAGTACAAGAGGCACATGCCAGATCTATTGTACATATTTTTAGTGGTAGGGGAAACCGGAGCACCCAGAGGAAACCTACGCAAACACGGGGAGAACATGCAAACTCCACTCAGAAAGGCCCTGGTCCAACCGGGATTCGAACCCAGGACCTTCTTGCTGAGAGGCAAGAGTGCTATCCACTCAGCCACCGTGCCGCCCTTAGTTATTCATACATGTCAATACTGCAGGACTCTGGTCTTTCTGGTCTTTCTCTGGTCTCTCTGCCCTCTCTCTGGTTTCTCACAACCTCTCCAAACCTCTCTCAATCTCTCTCTGGTCTCTGTCTCAGCTTCTCTCTGGTCTTACTCTGGTCTCTCTCTATGGTCTCTCTCTCGCTTTCTCTCTGGTCTCCCTGAGCCTCTCTCTGGTCTCTCTCTATGGTCTCTCTCGGTTTCTGGTCTCCCTCCGCCTCTCTCTGGTCTATCTCTGCTTGCTTGTAATGTGTGTATCTGCCTGTAGGGGCGCTGTACTCCAGGACTTTGGATTCTGAGGACTTGTCTCTTCAGATCCAGGACACGCCGTGTGTCTCTCTGCAGGTAAACCACTGGTACACACAATACAATACAATACAATTTATTCTTGTATAGCCCTAGGTCACAACAGAAGTCATCTCAGAGGACTTAACAAAACCATTGAAATCACCAACACAGGTCAGAGAATCAACAGTTAAAACACATGAAGAATATAAAGCACACACAGAAGAAAATGTCCATACATGTTGTAGAATGCTAAAGTGTCCTGATCATCACCAAGCCTTTCTGTTGGACACTAACTGTCCAACAAGACCCTCCTGCATCGACAAGGAAAAACTCTTAAAAAACCCAGTGGGAAAACGTGAGAAACCTTGGGGAGAACTAGGGAAACCCACAGGGAGGGAGACCCATATGAGAAAGGGATCCGCTCCTCCGGACGGACAGGCTAATGATCCAGGACCTAAGCTAGCTACAGAACGTGGACCAGTGGCCGCTGAACGTGGACAGGTCCGGTGCAGGACCGAAGCACTCCCAGGCGGGTCGGGCGGGGCAGTCCGCAGGTGTAGATGGAAGAGGCCAGGCTCAGAGATCCCGTCATCGTACCATGAAACAGACAATGGGACAACGGGTGAATAGCAATGAACAAACTACAGTCAGAATCCTAAAAATGCTAAACAGGTAAAGTAGGAAGGAGGAGAGGATAGTGCCTCTCCTCCAGTGGATAGTGTAATAGGTAGACCATTAGGCCCTTACAGAGTGTGGTAGCCCAGGATCAATGGACTACCACCTACATTTATTTAATCTATTTGTTTGAATGGGACAGTGCATGTGAATGAACAGACACATCAAAAACATGAATGTAAACATGCCAGATTATAGCCAAAGGCTCATTTCCATCTGTGTCCCATAGGGTTAGGGTCACACGAGTGAAATTCTTGGGTTTCATATTTCAATCTGAAGAGACCAAGAACACAATTAATACATTAAAATGATTTATTTGTTTTGGCGCATTGACCCCGACAGTGACACGTGCAGCGATGAGATTGATTGCAGCTGAAGATGATCTCAGACCCCCAGGGTCAAGCACTTGTGGTGGCTAGAGTATGGTGTGAATGGGGCGTAGGCGGAGCAGGAGCCTGGAGAGGGAGCCTAGAGCGGGAGCCCAGAGCGGGAGCCCAGAGCGGGAGCCCAGAGCGGGAGCCCAGAGCGGGAGCCCAGAGCGGGAGCCCAGAGCGGGAGCCCAGAGCGGGAGCCCAGAGTGGGAGCCTAGAGCGGGAGCCAGAGGGGGTGCTAGGGAGGTGGTGGGTGTTGAAGAGCTCCAGGAAGCGCTGCTTGTCAGGAAGTGGCTGCCTTTTAAACTGCCCGCTTGCTTGCGAGAGGGTTGGCAGGAGGCTGGCAGAGCTGTGTGATTGGCTGAGGCTCGAGGCTGGCAGAGCTGTGTGATTGGCAGGCTTGGAAGGGGGAATTTGCACTCGGTCTTTCAGTCTGAACTTGACCCTTGAGCTTCATGACGACGGGGCAGTGGCGCCAATAACAAACGTGGGGTTTATACACGGAGATATAGTAGAAGAAGAAGCGCTGTCAAAATGCCATCTTTGTGTGCGGTGTTCGCTTGTAGCAACCGCACAAACAGAGAGAAAGACCAGAGTTTGTTCATGTTCCAACTGTGTCTCATATAAAGGAGCACACTTTGAAACAATCACTGGAATGAGGCGGGCGAGGTGGATCAAGGCTTTCCCAGAAAAGCGCCCCCTGCAGGCCACCGCAAGGAAACGCAGCAATTTCTTCTGTTTTTTTTTTTCCCAAAAATGCCCAAAATCAAGACTATTTTGAGAAATATTTTTTAGTACTCCCTTAGAATCGAGTGTCCCCGATTAAGACTGTTACATCAACATGCACCGCACAGGAGGAGAGCCTTTAGACTCAGACTATACATGGTTTTCAATGGGAGCAAAACTGAGTCTGCTACTGGCCAGTTTAATGAAACCCAAGAATACAGCAACATCAGCAGAAACAAAAGAGGAAAATTACAAACAAAAAAACAGCTTGCATTCCCGCACAGGCCACACATTAGTAGTCCACCAAAATCCATAAGACTAGAGTCCACATCATTGCACACACCCAACAATTGCACACATAAAATTATTGCACACGTCAAATTATTGCACACATGCAATTATTGCACACACCCCGTTATTGCACACATCCTTGAATTAGAGTAACCAAATCTTACACCTGACCTATTTACAAACAAAACCCTATCGCATGTTCCCCGACATTATTCATGTTTGAGACGACCTTAACCACTCTTTCAGGAGACTTTGAAATGAAGTAAAACTAGGGGCCTCTTTTACTGAAGTCGGAAAACTGTAAACAGCCTTTGTACGACAGAACATTTTGTCCCCAGGGCCCCATCCTTTATACGGAGCAGTCATCCTGTCCCTCCGCAGAAGAGAAGCCCCAAACCATCATGTTTCCACCCCCATGTCTCACAGTGGGTATGGTGTCGGTCAAATCTGTGAAAACTGCTATTCTCAAACACTCTCCATATAATCTGACAGAGCTGGAGCTGTTTTGTAAAGGGGAATGGACAATACTTTTGGTCTCTAGATCTCCATAGCTTGGAGAGTCATACCCCAAACTATGTCATGTTGTGTGAAGTCTTTTGCAAGAAACTTTTTGTTGTTTTTGATACAATTCTGTATGATGTTGTTTTGTTGTTGACGTTGTGTGTTACTTTGTTTGTGGTCGATGAAGTGATAAAAGTTTAAAATGTATGAATACTTTTGCAAGGTCCTGTTCGGCAAAGATCTTCCAGAGTTGACATTTGTTTAAAACCGCAGAAGAGTGTGTTTCCATGTGTGTTTGCGTCTATCTGTGTGTGTGTGTGTGTGTGTATCTTATCTGTGTGTGAGTGCGTGTGTGTCTGTGTGCAAGTGTGTATGTCTGTGTGTGGCTCTTATCTGCAGAGGAAACGTTCACTTCTGTAAATACAAATCCTTCAGGGTCAGAAACTCCTTAAACTAATTTCAACACAAGTCTGCAGGCCACACACACACACACACACACACACACACACACGCGCGCACACACACGCACACACACACACACACACACACACACAGATTCCTAATGCAAGTAGCAAAATGTGAATGAACTCTCGCTCTGCTCTGAGAACAGGGAGCTGAGGCTGTGTTCATGTTATAGAATGAACAGTATTTCAGCAGAAGAAAAGAAAGATAGAAAATGTCATTATTTCATGGTTTTTAGATTCACAAAGTCGCCATATTATTCTTCTCCTGGCCGACATCATGCATATGTTTTTGAATTCTGTCACCACTTCTGGACACCTGCGACAGTTATTTTTTCATGTGGATTGTTTCAGGAAAACAGAGGAATTAGCTCTAAAGTAAAACTAGAATCTGACTTTTGACACTTTTTCATCACGCCGCAAAAAACGATGAAAAATAAGTTAAAAGTTTGTCACATTTGGCTGAATGTGTCTTAATTTAATCACATTCTGACTAAGCCTTAAAAACAAGATTTGCCAATGGGACAAAGCGAAATGATCTTGTTTTAAAAATATATAGAAATGTCGTCCTTGGAACGAGAAATAAAGAAACTTCTCTTGAAATAAGACTAAAGGGTTTTGTCCCTTTGTTGCAACAGCAGTTACAGAACAGTAGGAATGAGGAGCACACAGCACAGCACAAAAATGAACTTCAGCATAAAAACGAAGCAAATCTAAATTATCAAACTTTATCATCATGAAGAATCAAGAATAAAGAACAAAATCTCTGACTTTAGCTTAAAAAATAAGTATGTATTACTTCATATGTTTTTTATTTGCAGAGTGGGCCTCATGGAGCTGAGGGTCTGTCCTCTGTAAATCACAGAGGAATGTGTCCCAGGTCAGAGGGTCAGAGGGTCAGGTCTGGGTCTGGGTCTGGTTCAGGTCAGGGTTTGGGTCCAGTTCAGGTCTGGGTCTGGGTTTGGTTCAGGTCTGGGTCTGGCTCTGAGTCCGGTTCAGGTCTGGGTCTGAGTCTGTGTCTGAGTCCGGTTCAGGTCTGAGTCTGTGTCTGTGTCTGGTTCAGGTCTGGGTCTGGGTCTAGCTTAGGTCAGGGTCTGGGTCTGGGCCTGGGTCTGGGTCTGGGTCCGGTCCAGGTCTGGGTCTGAGTCTGTGTACACTTCAGGTCTGGATCTGTGTATATGTGTCTGGTTCAGGTCTGGGTCTGAGTCTGGGTCCGGTCCAGGTCTGGGTCTGGGTCTGGGTTTGGTTCAGGTCTGGGTCTAGGTCCGGTCCAGGTCTGGGTGTGAGTCTGTGTACACTTCAGGTCTGTGTCTGTGTCTGGTTCAGGTCTGGGTCTGGGTCTAGCCCAGGTCTGGGTCTGGTGGGTCTGGTCCAGGTCTGGGTGGTCACTGGAGCTGAGAGGATGTGGAGGTCAGTGCTCTTCTGCCCTGGACCCCGAGGACAGAGTGGAGACACAGGCAAAGGCCGTTATTTGTTGCAGACCCACATTTTTTGGCCCGTGTTGAAATGCTGCGGCAACAGTGGGAAAGATAGGCGTGTTGTTTAGACCTGTGACGGCTCCACAAAGAAAATACAAAACACACTTCCCACTTTCATAATAATTCTTCATGTAAGCGACGGACAAGAAAAACACTAAATTACACTTGGTCTGGGACGAGGTCGCAAGTAAGTAAGTAAGTAAGTAATCTTTATTTATATACCGCCTTTTCACTGCAAATCTGAGTCTCAAAGCGGTTTACAATTGTTAATTTTTGGGCATTTGTCTCTCACTCCACACAGAGATGGGAGCGGGGCCAGTACAGGAGGCGCATGCCAGAACTATTGTACATATTTTTAGTGGTAGGGGAAACCGGAGTACCCGGAGGAAACCTACGCAGACACGGGGAGAACATGCAAACTCCACTCAGAAAGGCCCTGGCCCGACCGGGATTCGAACCCAGGACCTTCTTGCTGAGAAGCCTCCAACCCGCAAGGCGGGTTGGAGGCCCAGAAAGAGGACTCAGTGGAAATGCGGTTATAGAAGCAAAAGGGAAGTTTTGTCCAATCAAAATGTTTCTTTCAGACATTCAGACACATTTCTGAACATTTATTGAGAGAAGTTTCTGGGAATTCTTTGAGTTCAGCTTTGCGATACAATACATTTTTTGTTATGGTTTTTTATTGCTTCATGCTGTTTGTAAAACTTTTAAGGATAAAGACACATAGAAATGGCTCCCTGATCATACTGTAATGGTATGAATCGTCCATAAAAGTCCAGTCTTTATAATTATGTTCATATTCTATCACCCACAGGGGTCCGAAAAGCAGGACCTCTTCTTTAGATCAACCTTAAATCATAAAAACTGCTGAAATTGCTTATTTTTCTGTTTTTTCTCAGGACGACGAAGGCCTTTACTGCCAGGAGCAGATCAACAGGTGAGATATCCATGAGTTTATGAATGTGGAACAGAGGGCGGCCATCTTGGATTCACCTTCCAAATGTTGTATTACACTCCTATGGGTTAAAGCTTTAAAGCTAGCGTACGTAACTTTCAGTCAATGGAAATCTAATAAAATCCATGTCTCTAGTTCCAGGCTCTAAACCAAATCTAATGAGCTTTTTCAGACAGAGAAGTGTAAAAGAAAGGACCATTCGGAGGGGGTTGGGCAATCAGAGCTGCCCCCCAAGTCCCAAAGCACCAGTCCCTCACTGATCCTCCCTGTGCAGGTCCACAGGAAGATGGCTGCTCCGTCATCGAATACGAGGCCTTGGTCTTTCAGCAGGGGCTTCAGGCAAAGTGGGGTTAAGTGTCTTGCCCAGGGACACAACGACAGCAGAGATCAGTGGGAGCAGATGACATGGTTCATGGGGGGGATCGAACCCAAGACCATTAGGTCCAAAGATCAATGCTGTACCAACTGAGCCACGGCACACACATGAACAATATTTCAATACTAAAATTAAATAAAATCTCTAACTTTAGAAAATGAAAGAAGCAAGTATAAAGATTTAGATACATGTATATTATTATTATTATTGCAATAAATAACTCCTGTGACTCACTCTTATGTCTGTATACAGCTCTACACCGCCCCCTGTGGTCGGTGTTATCTATACAGCTCTACAGCGCCACCTGTGGATCAGTATTATGTTTACATCTGTACATGTTAGCAGCACGCGGGTCTGGGACAGTGGTTCTATATGATATGAAAGGATTGCACAGTTATTCTCAGGTCTGATCCAACCATGTTCCCGCAGGTCTATTTACTGGGCGGATGGATACGTGCTGGTGTTCTCCATCACAGACCTGCGCAGCTTCCACACGGTGCAGCCGCTTTACCAACACGTGCGGCGCATCCACCCGACCGGAAACATCCCGGTGATTCTGGTAAAACCTCTTTATTTGTACAGTACATTTGCAACAACACCAGCTGCTCAAATACGTGTAAAATGTATGTATACGCTTTTATTTGCGTAGCACAGGATCATACACAAGGAAAGTCAAAGTGCGGAACAAAACAAGATAGAAACAGTCACACAAGGCGTTAACAACATAAATATTGACTGTACAATAAAAAGAGTGAAGATACAATCCCTCAGTTTTAGCACAGCGAAACAGAACTGTTTTTAATCTGGATTTGAACATTGTCAGAGAGGAGGCCTGTCTCACATTTTCAGAAAGATTGTTCCAGATTTAAGCTGTATAAATCTGAAATGCAGCCTTCTCATGTTTAGTCCTGACTCTGGGAACAGCAGGAGGCCAGGCCCTGTGCTCCTCAGAGTCCCAGCAGAGGCCAGTCCTTGTGCTCCTCAGAGTCCCAGCAGAGGCCAGTCCCTGTGCTCCTCAGAGTCCCAGCAGGAGGCCAGTCCCTGTGCTCCTCAGAGTCCCAGCAGGAGGCCAGTCCCTGTGCTCCTCAGAGTCTAAGGCTGAGTTTATACGGTGGCGCTGCGCAGACATTTCCAGGCTATGAACAGAAACAAATTTCACAGCGTTCATACGAGGATCAAAAACCGATGTAGTTCTAGCGCACGGACAGTAGTGGGCAGATAAATCGAAATTTCCCCACTGTGGGACGAATAAAGGAATTCTTATCTTATCTTAAACTTTACAACACACGCACGCGACCCACAGCCCCCAGTATACTCAACATCATTCTGCATTTAACAGAAGCTGCGAAAATGGAAACTGAAAATAGAGCTTCGCGTGGTCTCGTTTGGACGAACAAAGGAGTAGAATCCTCCTCCGTGTAGCCCTTGAAGTAGTTAGTTAGAGCACCCGCCGCCATTGTTGTTTATGTTTCTTCTCGGCTACTGTTGGTCCAAATGTACGTGCGGGGAGCAGCGGGGAGGTGGGGGTCAGATCAGGCAAAGAATTCACACCTTTTTCCTTACGCGGTTGTGAAAGAGCCCCGTCTGAGCAGCGTATCTGAGCTGTCCCACTCTGCAGGCTGGATCTGAACACTTACGTTTTCACCTGGAACACAGTCTCCAAATGAACGGGGGATAGCAACCTACATACAACTATGGCGTTTTACTGCTACAGTGTCACTGTGTAAACAGGGCCTAAGTTGATTCAGCGACACATACACACTGCGGCCTCAGTCCCGGTTCACACCAAGAGTCTTCAGTGTAAATGTAAACGCACAGGTCACTTGTAAGAATATATTTTTTATCACGGGTCCAGTTTATTACCTCAGAGAAGACAGGACACACACGGCCTCTGGTGTAAACTTAACACACTAGTTACATTTTATTGTGTGTGTGTGTGTGTGTTTAGGTGGGGAATAAGAGTGACCTGCTGAGAGCGCGGCAGGTTCCATCTCATCAGGGAGAGACGCTCGCCACAACACTGGGTCTGAAACATCTTGTTATAAACATGTTTATCTTTTGCAAACTTGTAAAAAGAGCCCGAAGAGCGGTTGAATCTTTGGGCTGAGAGCTGATTGGCTGAGTGTGTGTGGTCCTCTCTTTTGAACTTTTCTCTATAAAAAAGCAGAACCCAAAACATACATTCCAGTGAAAACTAGAGATAGAAACTTTTTTAGAGCCAGGAACTAGAGACATGGATTTTCTTACACGTGGAGTCGAATGTGTTGTTAAAGTACTGTAGCAATATGTACGATTTTTATGTCAAGTCATCATTAAAGGGCACTAATTTGTCAAAAGGCATTAATAAATCATGTTCTTTTCCAATACTTCTTTAACTGATAACAGTAGTTCAGAGATATTTGGATTTCAAAATTATTTTTACAGCCCTAAATCTTATTGTTTTTATTTCGAATTCCATAATCCGGGTTGCCAAAATTTACCACGTTGAGCTAGTCTCACAAAAGTACCATGTGACTAAAAAAGGTCTTGTTTTGATTCTCAAATTATTAACAACAAAACAAGGAATAAAACCAGGATTTCTATCTATGTGAAAAAGGTGTTGGTTATAGATTTGTTGTTGACAAAACCCTTTTCAGATATTACGTTCCCAGCTGGATTCTTCTGCATATCTGGAAACCTGAGTTAGGGAGAGATTGCAGTACCACTTTTGGCCTTTTTACAGACTGCTTCTTTAAAGTTTTGGTTTTTGACTTTCTAAATCAGGGGTTGAGTAATTCTTTTCTTGGACATTGGGATATCGTCCCGTTGTGAGGGGCCGGACTGGATTTCATGTGGTTCATCTTTGATTTAATTTAAAAAAAAGCTACTTTAGTATTTTAATGTAAAACAAACCTCCTTCTCTTCCAGTTATTCCTTTTGTGATTTTAGCGATTGTTCTACCAATAAGATTTAGCGTTAATTAGAAAATGGTAGCACATGTTAAGTCCCAAACATTCATTGGTTGTTGACTGTTGATGTGGTGAAGTGATGGAAGGAGCCGACATTCAGGTATACAAAAATTATAATTTATTGAACATAAAAGTCAAGGGTAGGAACATAATTTTTAAAAAGTCCAAGGTTAAAAAGAAATTCCAAATCCAAAAGGAACACGGGAACTAGAAAACCGAGAGACAAGGACAAACCAAGACAATGGACCAGGGACAAAAGGGGAAAAGCACAGAATACATGGACACAGAGAGACACAGGTGAAACGCATGAGGGCGGGGCACACGATCTACAGGGGAAAAGGACAGGAAGTAAAAGTAAAACAAAACCACAGAGAACAAAAGTCAAAATAAAATCAAGAATACATAATAACAAAAAAATCCACCCCATGACATTGACTCCTGATTCATTTAAACACGCAACAGACTGGTTTGGTTCAAAGGGTCCAGGGGAAAATGTGAATTGGGCCGGATGTGGTCCCCGGGCTGCACTTTCCCCAGGTCTGTTCTAAATCCTGAAATGCCAAAGTGAAGACCCTATTTAAAGCTGTGGTTCTGACCTCCTCAGTCTTATCTGCATCTAAACTCAGCAGCGGTTAATGACTGTGGAATGTTCTTATCAACAAACACTTAAAAACAGGCCTCGTTCCAAAAGTGTCCCACTCTGTGTGAGTCCCAAACTCCTGTGACTCACTCTTATATCTGTACACAGCTCGACAGCGCCCCCTGTGGTCGGTCTTATCTATACAGCTCTACAGCGCCACCTGTGGATCAGTATCATATTTACAGATTATTTAAAATCCAATATTAATCCCAATACAACGCTGCGGACCCCTATACATACTAAATTGTTAACAAATAATAAACAGTAGTAAAATAATACAGTGTAAAATAATTAACTCTTTATTACCTTGGTCATGATAAAAAAGCAAAATTTTTATTCCCTCAAAACTGCTCGGCTCATCAAAGGCCGATAAAATGTAAAGATAAAACTAAATCAACAAGAAGATGGACAGAAGCTGAGGACATTTTGGCTCAGATGAACACTTTACTTCCTGCTCAGCCTTTTGTCACCATGACTCTTCTTTATGTCCACCAGGGGGCGTGTACTTTGAGGCGTCGGCCAGAGAAAACCATGTGAGCGTCCACGGCGCCTTCCTGCACCTGTGCCATGAGGTCACTATTCTGACACGTGCTGACGGGTTCAAACAACACGCTGACCTTTCCCACTGTTGACTGTCGACATGCCATTTCATAACGGGTCTAAAAATACGCCTATGCAGCTTGAAAACATATGATTAGAATTACATTACGGCAAGTCTAGTTTAGCCGCTGTGGACTTCAGAAGTCACTCAGGCTTAGGCAAGACACTTCACCCACATTAGAATGAGTCTGGGGTGTGTGTGAATGGCACATACTCGTTGCCTCGCTTCAGCCAGTGTGCACCAGGGCAGCTGTGGCTTCAGTAGTAGTTTATCACCACTGTAATAAGAAAGAAATAATGACATCTTTGAGCGTCCAAAAGAATGCTATATATAAAACTATGCATTATTATCATTATTATTAAATTGACTTCATTCATGTGGACACAAACTTTTACTGAAGTGACTCCGTGTTTGCAGAGAACGTTTACAGTAACTATTCACGTTTTGACTTTTTGTGGATGTAGCCAAAAACACAACAATTACTTGAGGAACTAGAACGAAAAGTAGTTGTTGAAGTCTCACCTGCCTCTGTTCCAGGTGATCCGCTCGTTCGGTTCTGCTAACGGGGAAAAGCGGCGCGGCGGACTCCACTTAGCACGACCCAAGTCTCCGAACATGCAGGAGCTGAAGAGGAGGTTCAGGCAAGTGCTGTCGTCCAGGTCCAAGTCTGGGCCCACGCTGTGAGGACTCAAACTCACCAAAACTCACCGAAACTGAACCACATATCACCAAAACCCAACTGGACTCAAGTCAAGATTCAAGATTCAGTTTATTTTTCATTTGCAGTAAAAAACACGAATGGAATAATAGTTGTTTTTAACTAAATTGTTGTCATTTTTTTTACTTCTTGTCCCATGTTGACACGGGGCCTGCTCCCCCACAGTACATCACTCAACTCAACTGGATTCAGAGCTTGTGAAGATTGAGACAAACTTGTGCGAATTATTCCGACATCTCGCAGGGATTTTTGACATAGATTTTTGCATAATGTAACCGGAACATCCCCCCACCCCTTCTTTCTCAATGCTCTGTTTCTCAAACTGGCAACACCGCGACAAATCCTCAAACAATGATGTCATCGCACCATGTTAGTCGAACATCCTTCTCTTCAGTTGTGATTTTTCTGCATGTTTTTGTACAATTGTTTACAATAAATAAGATTTTTTTATGTGGAGTTTTGATTTAATGTAATTCCAATCTTTGAACACAGGTGTAATGTAAGGCCTTTAATACAGGTGTAATGTGAGGCATTTAACACAGGTGTGATATAAGGCCTTTGACACAGGTGTAATATGAAGTCTTCGACAAAGGTGTAATGTAAGGCCTTTTACACAGGTGAAATGAGAGGCCTTTAACACAGGTGTAATGTGAGGTCTGTAACACAGGTGTAATGTAAGGCCTTAAACACAGGTGTAATGTAAGGCCTTAAACACAGGTGTAATGTAAGGCCTTAGACACAGGTGTAATGTAAGGCCTTAGACACAGGTGTAATGTAAGGCCTTAGACACAGGTGTAATGTAAGGCCTTTAACACAGGTGTAATGTAAGGCCTTAGACACAGGTGTAATGTAAGGCCTTTTACATAGCTGTAATGAGACAAAATAAAATAATAAAAATAATAGCCACAGCTGCCCTGGGGCACACTGACAGAAGCGAGGCAACCAGTTTATGCCGTTGGCCCCTTCGACCTCCAACAACCATTCACACACACACACCAGACTCTAGATTCTAGGCAATGGGGGTGAATTGACTTACCCAAGAGCACAACGGCAGTTTGGCACTTTACAGCCGCCCCACTGTGGTACATGGTGTTTCCAGAGGTCAAGCGTCTTGCCCAAGGAAACAGCGACAGGAGACATCAGTGGGAATCGATGGAGAAAGTCTTGTGGTGGGCTCGAACCCACGACCATTGTCTCAAAGGCCAGTGCTCTACCAACTGAGCCACTGTCGCCCCTGCACCACACAGGTATAAGGTCAGGTCTCTTACACAGGTGTATTGTACGGCCTTTAGCACCACACAGATGTAAGGTCAGGTCTCTTACACAGGTGTAATGTACGGCCTTTAACACAGGTGTAATGTAATGCCTTTAACACAGGTGTAATGTAAGGCCTTTAACACAGGTGTAAATTGAGGTCTGTAACACAGGTGTAATGTGAGGTCTTTAACACAGGTGTAATGTAAAGCCTTTAACACAGGTGTAATGTTAGATCTTTAGCAGTAGAATGTGAGGTTTTTAACACAGGTGTAACGTGAGGCCTCTAACACAGGTGTATTGTCAGGTCCGTAACACAGGTATAATGTGAGGTCTCTAAAACAGGTGTAATGTGAGGCCTTTAACACAGGTGTAATGTAAGGCCTTTAACACAGGTGTAATGTGAGGTCTGAAACACAGATGTAATGTAAGGCCTTTAACACAAGTGTAATGTTAGATCTTTAGCAGTAGAATGTGAGGTTTTTAACACAGGTGTAATGTAATGCCTTTAACACAGGTGTAACGTGAGGCCTCTAACACAGGTGTATTGTCAGGTCCGTAACACAGGTATAATGTGAGGTCTCTAAAACAGGTGTAATGTGAGGCCTTTAACACAGGTGTAATGTAAGGCCTTTAACACAGGTGTAATGTGAGGTCTCTAACACAGGTGTAATGTGAGGTCTCTAACACAGGTGTAATGTGAGGTCTCTAACACAGGTGTAATGTAAGGCCTGTAACACAGGTGTAATGTTAGATCTTTAACAGTAGAATGTGAGGTTTTTAACACAGATGTAATGTGTAGTAACCAGTGGGGGTGAGTAAAAAAGGATTTTAAATGACACATTATTTAAAAAAAGTATGGGAAGAAAAATAACATGCAAAAAAATACAGAAAAAGAATGTGTTGAAAAGACTAAGGCCAGATGTCAGCAATAAGTAAATAAATATTCCAGAGAGAAATCACAGAATGTATTGACCCAGGAGTAAAGCTGGACTGGGGTTTGGGGTTCAGGCTTTGGACTTGGTATCGGAGGCTGTGAAACAGGAAGTGGGCGGTGAAACCTCCAGGGACTTTTCTCCTGAAATAGAAACAGCTCCAAACTGCACTGTAAAAACAATCTGCTCTTTCTGAACTCAAAGTCAAACCAATTAACAAGTTCTTCCATAAATATAGTAAAGAAATCAATTAAACTAGCAGTAAACTGTGTCTTTTAAACAGGTGCATAGAGATACTACAGTCGTTCTACAGGGGGAAATTACAGTGTAGTGTCCCAGGTCACATAACAGTAGGAATGTTCTCTATGTGCACTGCAACATTGAAATTTCCCCACTGTGGGATGAATAAAGGATTTCTTATCTTATGAGATGAATGCATATCAAGTATAGCAAGGCTCAACTCGGTCCTCACAGGTTTTCATTCCAGCCAAGTAGGAGCACAACAGACTCCAGACCCCAGACTGTACAATACTTGCATTAGGACTACCATTGACACTGTTTCTTGATTGCCACTTTTGAATTGCCACTTTTTATTATATATCTATTTAAAAGTATTGCAGAGAGACCTGAGAAAGCCTTTTTAGTAAGTAAGTAATGTTTATTTATATAGCACATTTTACAGACCAAGGAAGAGCCAGGAAATAGTGACCTGGATGTTATTACAGCGTTCTGTTGTTGTGGTCTGAAAGTTCTCTATTCCAGCTTTAAAGTTACATACCCCAGCTTTAATTTTGCAATGTACTGGAGGGGATGCTTGTGTTGGGGGTCCCTGTCTGAAAGTTTTGGAACCCTTAGTTTGCCGCAGGAACAACAGAAGCTTCATGTACTGTAGAGATTACAGCGTTTGATGAGATTTAGTATAAGTGCAGGTGACAGCGGCTCAGGCAGAAGTATCCACTCATCCACAGTACACACACAGTACTGCAGTAGTACTACACGCAGTACTACACGGAGTACTACTGCAGAGTACACTTATGCAAAGTCCAGTTTCATCCACATTTCGGAGCCGGAACAACCTCTCCAGGTAAGACAACTGCCCTTTTTAAACATAACCGAACAGCCACTAAACTTGTTTACGGACCATAAAGTATTATAGTATTATTTAGTGTAGTATAAATATTACCACACTCATAGTTTTGTTCTTATTTCTAAAACTAATAGAGAAACACAAACTCATCCTCAGTTGTTGTGTGAAGCCAGTTATTGCAAAATATACATTCTATTCTCAAATGCTAACATCACTGAGCAGCTCTGGGGAGATTTCAACCATGCAGCGCATACAAGGCGGTCCAGGAATTTACAGTAGGCTTTTTTTCTCCAAGAACAACGTACAGCTTTACCATCAGAGAGGATTGAGAACGTCATTCGCAACCAGCAACTACTGAGACTCTGAGCTGCCTGGATGTTTAAGAGCAACTCTATTGAGAACTGGGGGATGGAGACTTTTGATCAGGGTCTTAACAGGAGACAGGTGTAATGTAGGCCAAACAAGAGAATAGCGTAAGTTTATTTGTATTGCACAGGTCATACACAAGGCAACTCAAAGTGCTGAACAAAACAAGATAGAAACAATTCTTGGGTTTCATTAAACTGGCCAGTAGGGGGCGCATGAGCAGAGGTGTGAGAACTCAGTTTCACTCCCATTTAAAACCATGTAAAGTCTGTTTTGGAGTCAAAAGGCTCTCCTCCTGTGCGGTGTACGGTTGGTGTAACAGTCTTAATCGGGGACACTCAATTCTAAGCGAGTACTAACAAATATTCCTCAAAAGATTCTTGATTATGGGAATTTTTGGAAAAAAAACAGAAAAAATTGCTGCGTTTCATTTGGGTGGCCTGCAGGGGGCGCTGATCTGGGAAAGCCCTGATCCAGCTCGCCCGCCTCATTCCAATGGTTTTTTCAAAGTGTCCTCCTTTATTTGAGACCACAGTTGGAACATGAACAAACTCTTGTCTTTCTCTCTGTTTGTGCGGTTGCTACAAGCGAACACCGCACAAAAAGACTGAAGACTGCTACACTTCTTCTTCTACTATATCTCCGTGTATAAACCCGGCAGACTGCACCACCAGGATACGTCACGTCCTGTCCCACGTTTGTTATTCGCGCCACTGCCCTGACGTCATATGAAACCCAAGAATACAAGGCTTTAACCCTTTAATTGTTTCGTCATCATTTGGTAGATCCTTTTGAGTCACTTTATCTTCATGAAGCTTGGAACTGACATCAACCTCTTTACCATCAAACTGCATCACAACCGTTTGGTAAAGGGACATGTTTTAGGGTAATTTCCTGTTTTTGTGTGTGTAATTTGTTATCCCCTGTGTCTTCTTTAGTTGTACTTCCTGTTTCCTGATGCCCCGTCCTCAAGTGTCTCACCTGTGTCTCGTTAGTGTTGTGTTTTAGCCCCGTGTTCCTTCACTTCCTGTTCCGTCATTGTCATCCCACGTCTGTTTTAGTTCTCTTCGTCAGACCCGGGTTGATTACTTTTTGTGATCACTCTGGAATTTTTTTTGTTTTCCGTTTTTCTTGCAGTTAATTTCCTTTTGCCATCGTGACACAAAGCCTATGATAAAAAAAAAAAAAAACTATTTGTAAAATGATACAAAAGAAAACATGAAAAAAAATCGTTACTTTATTCAAGGAGAGAACCTTAAAGGGTTAAAATCTTAAATAATCACAGTACAGTAAAAAGAATAAAGATAAAATCCTTCAGTTGTCGTAGCTAAACAGGACAGTTTTTATCCTGGATTTGCACATTGTCAGAGAAGAGGCCTGTCTCACAAATTCAGGAAGACTGCTCCTTATTTTGGTTGCATAAATCTGAGATACTGCCTCCCCCTGTTAAGTTCTGACTCTGGGCACCACCAGGAGGCCAGTCCCTGTGCTCCTCAGAGTCCCAGCAGGAGGCCAGTCCCTGTGCTCCTCAGAGTCCCAGCAGGAGACCAGTCCCTGTGCTCCTCAGAGTCCCAGCAGGAGGCCAGTCCCTGTGCTCCTCAGACTCCGAGCAGGAGGCCAGTCCCTGTGCTCCTCAGAGTCCCAGCAGGAGGCCAGTCCCTGTGCTCCTCAGAGTCCCAGCAGGAGGCCAGTCCCTGTGCTCCTCAGAGTCCCAGCAGGAGGCCAGTCCCTGTGCTCCTCAGAGTTGGTTCATATGGTACTAACATGTCACAGATGTGCTTTGGTCCGAGGCCGTGGAGAGACCTGTGTGAAGTAGAATGTGTTCAGTTTAATCCAAAGGTCTCTTTTATGTCTTCCCTGAATCAAACAGAAGTCCAGCCTGTTGGACGTCGTGCAGATGTCGCTGCTGCTGTAAAGTGTCAGGATCATTGCAATGAAAAGATGTTCTTGGACGTAACTTGTGTTTACCTGAAGACGCTTGGTGTAATAATCCCAGAACTGAAACCTCCTTACACTTTGTCAGCATCAAATTAAAGAAGAAGCAGCCACACTTTAGTTTCGCCCTTACTAACAGCTAATAAAGTGCTAATTAACATTTATAAACATTTATTAGTCCTTATTCCACATGACCTTTGTCAACAACTAACTCATTTCTAACTGACTTTTCCCATGTGGGTTAGGGCACACTAATTAGCCCTTAATGAATGTGAAATAGTTTTGGCTTTTCTAAAGATGCTGAATTATGCTTTTCGTGCTGCATCTAACGAGCAATAAAACAAGACATCCGTAAAAAGGATTAAATTTGACAGAGCTGATGTCAATTGTTTTGCGGCGCCATCTTTGTACTTTTGCGGCACAATCTCATGTAAACAATCAAAAAAACTGCTGATGGCTAATGTGACTTCAAACACGTGACCACGATTAAAGGGGCAGAGATAAGGGCATTACGGAGGGCCTGAAGAAAGTTTTGTTTTAGATCTAATAAGATTTACTGATTATATCTTAGTGACCACAGGAGACGCTGTAGAGCTGCAGAGCCAGAAGCACGGTGGTGTTGTTTACCTGTGAAAGTTCTGTTCTTCTTCCCTTCTCTCCTGCAGGATCCCATGACTCTTGTTTTCTCGATTTGCTGCTGTTGTGAAGATGCCTCCGTGGCGCCCTCTGCTGGTGCTCTCCCTGCTCTGTTTCACCCAGATGCCCGGTCTCGGTGAGGCCGGGTTCCGGGTCGGCATCGTCGGACCCTGGAGCTGCGACCCCATGTTCAGCCGCGCGCTCCCTCACGTGGCCGCGCAGCTCGCCGTGAACCGCATCAACAATGACGCACAACTGTCCTACGCACACACCTTTGAGTTTAGTGTGCTAGAGGTGAGAAGCACGCACACACACAGATGTACACGCACACATACACACACAGATGTACACGCACACATACACACTCCATAAATAAGGATGCTAAAGGTGTGAATAATGCACACACACACACATACACACACGCAAACATGTTCACATGCACACACACACACACACACACACACACACACACACATACACGTTTTTGTTACCTGGTGGGTCCCTTTGACAGGGCCGTTCAGAATGGGACCCATAGACATAATCTTTTTTTACTGGGACTACTTTAAGTAATACAAAACAGTCAATAGAAACTAAACAACTATTTTAAAGGAATTTTATTTTAGATTTTTTTTTAGAATTGCAGCGATTCTATTTTTGACATAGAATTTAATGCCACTCCATGTCCGATGTCTAAGGTCATCTGGTGAGGCATTAATGCAGGCCAGGCAGTGAGACTTCCCAGGGACCTTTCCAGTCTGTATGAAAGGTGTCATGGTCTTCTCCACAGCCTTCACCTCAGATGCAGACCATGGCTTTCTTACACGTTCTAGGGAGAGAAATAAAAATATATTAGCAATATACACTCCCAGGGTTAGGACCAAGCAGCCTGGCTGTAATCCCCCACCTGGTACACTTACCAGAAGGGGCACTGCCACTACCATGGGGTGCATCTGGATGAATGGTTGAAGGTTCTCCGCTTGAAGTTTCTTTTAGCCCGTCCGTTTGTGAGAGGATCTCTACTGCTCTCCCTGTCGCACAGAAAATAAAAATACAAGTGGCCTTTAGGGGAAAAAAATCATACATATTTTAATAATATCAAGAATTACCTTCAGGCTCAATTTGTATCTGGTCGAGGCTCTTTCCTTCGAATTCCGTCACTCTTCCCTGCTCCATGGCCATCAACACTTTGCTGATTTTGGCCAGCTCCAGTGTCCCCTCTGGTAGTCTGTAATATTGCCTGTGGATGCGAATGTCATGGCCGAGGAAGTTGGCAAGTATGTCCATCTCATTCTCTTTCATATTGAGAACTGTAGACATAGTAGCTATGTGCTTTCTAAATTTGGTTGAGGATAGCATCTCTGGATGCACCGCACCACATTCTTTGGCTACCTGGCGTAGGGAGTCTGATCCCCTGATGTGGGTGTCTGCGCCCGGGCGGGAGAAGAAGTATGGGTTATGGTCAGAGATGGAACAGGCCCTTCTGTTCTCCACCAGCACCTCCATCGAAGCAATCATTTCAGGAGTCAAAAGAACCGGCACTTTCCGACTTCTTTTCCCTTTAATTTCAATGCGTTGAAAATGCTGACACAGCTTTTTCTCAAGTTCGGACAGTCCCAGAGCCATGTCAGAATGGATCCCAGTCTTACTTCTTAAGGTAAAGGCTGTCAGTGGCATCTTTGAAACCTCACCTTCCCTTCTTCGATTGAAAATAATGACCTCACAAAGAGTCAAAACTGCCAGTTTAGACCAATGCTTAGACGTTGGCTCACTTATTAGGGTTTGCACATATTCAGGTCGACATACCTCAATATGTGCATGCATGGCTCTAACGTCCTCAGTCAGAGGGAGCAGGTCCGGAGTGTTCCACTTGGCTTGCCGGAGGGTCTGTAGGGCAGCAGAAGAAACACAGACGTCCCACCTCTTCTCAAAAAGCAGCCGGCTTCGTTGGAGGTTTTTAATAAATAGTTCATCAACACAATGCTCCATTTTTGAGTCACATTCAAGAATATCTGCTAGCTTTCTGAGGCTATGGCCGAGTTTGAGGGCCAAGGATGGAGTCTTGTATGGATTTGTTTCCTCATCATATCCAGCCACAGACCTGACTGCATCAATCACATGGTTAAAGTTGGAAGGAATAAAGAAATCCTTAATTGTTTTCAGTTTCCCTGCAGTTTTTGCTTCGTTAATTAACCTACCGACTTCTCTCATTTTCTGCCTAATGTAATCATGCTTAGTCTTATCATGCCCGTGTTTTAAGTACAGGTGCTCTCCGAGTCTCAGAATCCCCTTTTCTGCTTTGACAACACCCGTGACCTCATCCTGATGCATTGCCGAAATTAAAGACCACAGCTTTTTGCTGATGCCCTCCGGTACAGGCTGGGCTAGGGAGCAGAGGGACTGGACCCTACTTCTACCTGGTTTAGCCTGGTTTAGCCTGGGCATCTTTCTGTGAAAGCCGGCACCTGGCCACATGCCTCCACAGCGACTTTCGCTTAAGCAATGTCCCACAGTCTATACAGTGCAAAAACTCACTGGATTTAACTGGGCAATTTGGCTGTTTAGCTGGGACTAAAGTTCCAATGCCGGCCTTTAAAACCTCAAAATTGTGCTCACGGTTTCCACTATTCCTGATCAAATCAAACTGAAGTTTACGTGCTTTAGATTTCACAGGTAGAGCCAATGCTCTGGCTACGTCACTTTCATTTCCATGTTTTCTAGTCAAATGACGGGACATTTTGTGGCAGGACATTGAACAGTAGAGGCAGAAGTGTCTCTTGCTATAAACTCGCCCCCCATTTTTCTTCTTTTGCAGCTGCATGATAACAATCTTATTTGCCTTTGGTTTGTCACTTTCCGAGTCTTGAAGAAAAGTGTTTTTGATTTTTCTTTTTCCATACTTTTTTACAGGTTTCTTCTTGACAGTTAAATCGTCAGAATCTGAGTCGACTTCATCAATTAGGGACTCTTGACTAAGCTGCACAAACAACAAATAATTTGTAATCATTCTATATAACAATTTGAAGTCATGACTTGTAGTCAGCACTTACCAGTGGTTTGTAAGCGTGCGCTTCAGTGTGCTCCTCCATGATTTCTTGCAGCCTAATGAACCACACACTTGCACCTTTTTCTAGCCTGACACCTGATTTCCTCTGTTTTGCTGCTCCATGATTGGCTCCAGCCTGCTGGACTGAAATTGCCCCAGTGTGCCCCTCCTTGATATCCCGCAACCCACCACCAGGGTTCCGACACATAACACACTTTTTTCAGGAAAGTAAACCTCCAGGGGTCCTTTCCATATTTTTACAGAGACTGCATAAGGACCGTTAGAAAAGCATTACCCATTGATTATTAAGCTTGGACCAGTGGGGTCCGGTGTTCGGGCCCCACCACGTAAAACCAGTCCCCATGACGTGAGTGGAATCTCAGGTTATGGAACCCACCAGGAGTTGAAAACAAGTGCACACAGTCCTATGCACACAGACACACACACACAGTCCTATGCACACACACACACACACACGCACACAGACACACACACACACAGTCCTATGCACACACACACACAGTCCTATGCACACAGACACACACAGTCCTATGCACACAGACACACACACACAGTCCTATGCACACAGACACACACACACACAGTCCTATGCACACACACACACACACACACACACACACACTCGCACACAGACACACACACACAGTCCTATGCACACACACACACAGTCCTATGCACACAGACACACGCACACAGACACACACACACACAGTCCTATGCACACACACACACACACGTGCACACACAGACACAAACACACAGTCCTATGCACACACACACACACAGTCCCATGCACACACACAGGAGGTAAATACTCAGAGCTAACATCCGTGCTGTGGCCCCCAGGAGCCGTGTGAAACGTCCCGAGGTCTGAAGGCGTTTCTGGGCTTCCACACAAAAGCGTCGGCCTTCACCGGACCAGCCAACCCCGGCTTCTGTGACGCTGCCTCCATGATCAGCAAAGGATGGAACAAGGTGAGCACATTCACACGCGCGTTATGGACATCTTCATCAGCAACAAGAGAAGACCACCCACCAAATACCAACGAGAGTGTGTGGCTCTCATGCACATGCTCTGGGGGAGCGTTCTGACCAATCAGAGCGGAGCTAGAGCGTGAGGAGAAAAAACGAGCAGAATTTCTTGCATTAAGGTGTAGATTTAAAGAAAACAAGTTCAGAATGACAAGGGACACTAAAATCCCCTCAAAATCCTACCTTTACAAAAGCTGAATGTTCTCTGTCAGGTTCTCTGTCAGCTGAGGTGGAGCTGGTTTTGTTTACATTGAGTTTGATGGAAAACATTTCTGGGTGGCCCGCTTGAACTGAGTCTGCAGTACCGCCGCTGCCCACCGTGCGTCTCGGTGGGACAGCTAAAGCTAGCATTACCCTCTCCAGTTATCATTATAGATCCAGGCTTTCACCGCATTTGTCAATTTGCTGCATCTGCCGTGCCGGACAAATGTGCTACGACGTACGTGCAAATATTTTCCCTGACGTACATCATGATACTCTACGTTCCTCTGATAATCTGTGTTCCTCTGATAATCTGTGTTCCTCTGATAATCTATGTTCCTCTGATAATCTACGTTCCTCTGATAATCTATGTTCCTCTGATAATCTATGTTCCTCTGATAATCTATGTTCCACGGATAATTTATGTTCATCTGATAATCTGTGTTCCTCTGATAATCTGTGTTCCTCTGATAATCTGTGTTCCTCTGATAATCTATGTTCCTCTGATAATCTATGTTCCTCTGATAATCCACGTTCCTCTGATAATCTATGTTCCTCTGATAATCTACAGTACAGACCAAAAGTTTGGACACACCTTCTCTTTCAAATAGCAATTTTTTATTTTCATGAATATTAAAAATGTAGATTAACACTGAAGGCATAAAAACTGTGAAAGATCTCATGTGGAATTATGTACGTACTGACAAAAAAATTATGAAACAACTGAAAATATGTCTTAATATTCTAGGTTATTTAAAGTAGCCACATTTCGCACACTCTTGGCATTCTCTTGATGAGATTCAAGAGGACTTGAAATGGTCTTCCAACAGTCTTGAAGGAGTTCCCAGAGAGGCTTGCACTTGGCCCTTGTTCACTCTGTGGTCCAGCCCCAAAACCATCTGGAGTGGGTTCAGGTCCGGTGACTGTAGAGGTCATGTGGCCCAGCACCACCACTCTCCTTATTGGTCAAACAGCCCTCACACAGCCTGGTGTGGGTCTACAGACAATAGTCATGAAAAGAAAGAACCTCTTTGAAAAGAAAGTATGTCCAAACTTTTGGTCTGTACTGAATGTTCCCCTGATAATCTCTGTTCCCCTCATAATCCCTGTTAATCTCCAGGCCCTGTTCCCCTGGGGTTGTGTGGGCCTGGAGCTGGATGACCACAGGAACCACCCCACGCTGTCCCGGTCCCAGCCGCGGCCGCCCTGGGTCCTGCTGCGGCTGCTGTCCTACTTCAGGTGGGCTCATGTGGCTGTTCTGTCGTCCAGCGAGGATCTGTGGGTCCACACTGCCACCAAGGTGATACCAGCGTCAGAACCTCTCACTGAATCTGGGAAAAGGTCTCTTCATTTCAGTTTATCTTGAAGATTTGTCAACGGAACACAAATCTATAGTCTCACTCTGGTGCTTCTTTGTTATCTCTGGTCTCTCTACGGTCCCTCTCTGATTCTGCTGGTCTCTCTCTGGAGTCTCTTTAGTACGTCTGGTCCTGTTCTGTTTTTACTGGTGCCTCTTTCTGGTCTCTCTCTTTGGTACGTCTGGTCCCTCTCTGGTTTCACTGGTCTCTATCTCAGGTGTCTCTCTGGTGTCTCTCCCTGGTCTCTGATCACTCTGGTCTCTGTTATTTGACTGGTCTCTCTAGTCTCTCTGGTCTCTCCCTGTTTCTATTGTCTCTCTCTGTTACTTCTGGTCTCTTTCTTATGTCTATCTGACCCCTCTGGACTTTCTCTGGTCTCTCTCTCTAATTTCTCCAGTCTCGCTCTGGTTTCTCTCTAGTCTCTCTCTGGTCTCTTTATTTTCTCTCTTGTCTCTCTAGGTCTCTCTCCGGTCTCTCTCTGGTCTCTCTAGTCTCTCTCTGGTCTCTGTCTAGTCTCTCTATGGTACGTCTGGTCCCTCTCTGGTTTTACTGGTCTCTCTCTCAGGTCGCTCTCTGGTCTCTATCTTGTCTCTCTTGTCTCTCTCTGGTCTCTCTCTTGTCTCTCTCTGGTCTCTCTATAGTCTCTCTCTAGTCTCTCTCGGGTCTCTTTCTGGTCTCTCTAGTCTCTCTCTGGTCTCTCTAGTGTCTCTCTGGTCTCTCTGGTCTCTCTCTTTGGTACGTCTGGTCCCTCTCTGGTTTCACTGGTCTCTATCTCAGGTGTCTCTCTGGTGTCTCTCCCTGGTCTCTGATCACTCTGGTCTCTGTTGTTTGACTGGTCTCTCTAGTCTCTCTGGTCCCTCCCTGTTTCTATTGTCTCTCTCTGGTACTTCTGGTCTCTTTCTTATGTCTATCTGACCCCTCTGGTCTTTCTTTGGTCTCTTGTCTCGCTCTGGTTTCTCTCTAGTCTCTCTCTGGTCTCTTTATTGTCTCTCTTGTCTCTCTAGTCTCTCACTGGTCTCTCTCTGGTCTCTATCTTGTCTCTCTAGTCCCTCTCTGGGCTCTCTCTAGTCTCTCTAGTCTCTCTCTGGTCCCTCTTGTCTCTCTCTGGTCTCTCTCTTGTCTCTCTCTGGTCTCTCTCTGGTCTCACTCTGGTCTCTCTCTGGTCTCACTCTGGTCTCTCTCTGGTCTCTCTCTGGTCTCTCTCTGGTCTCACTCTGGTCTCACTCTGGTCTCTCTCTGGTTGCTGTAGACGTGCTCCTTGTTGCAGGTAGCAGACTCGCTGAGGTCACATGGTCTGCCCGTCAGACTGGTCAGATCTGTGGAGAACACGCCTCACAGCATCAGGGAGAGTCTGAGCGCAATCAAGAAGAGGAGAGAAGTGCGAGGTCAGTGCACATGTGACTCATAATCTGTAATCTGGTCTCTCCTCACTGTTGTGGTTGGTTCTGTGTGGCGTTTGCATGTTTTCCCTGTGTCTGGGTAGGTTTCCTCAGGATGCTCCAGTTCTCCGTACCACAAAAAAAAAAAAAAAAAAAAAAAAACTGTACATTATTTCAGGCCTGTAATCTGGTCTCTCCTCCGTGTTTGAGCCTGTAATCTGGTCTCTCCTCAGTGTTTGAGCCTGTAATCTGGTCTCTCCTCAGTGTTTGAGCCAGAAATCTTGTCTGTCCTCAGTGTTTGAGTCTGTAATCCGGTCTCTCCTCAGTGTTTGAGCCCGTAATCTGGTCTCTCCTCAGTGTTTGAGCCTGTAATCTGGTCTCTCCTTAGTGTTTGAGTCTGTAATCCGGTCTCTCCTCAGTGTTTGAGCCTGTAATCTGGTCTCTCCTCAGTGTTTGAGCCCGTAATCTGGTCTCTGCTCAGTGTTTGAGCCTGTAATCTGGTCTCTCCTCAGTGTTTGAGTCTGTAATCTGGTCTCTCCTTAGTGTTTGAGTCTGTAATCCGGTCTCTCCTCAGTGTTTGAGCCTGTAATCTGGTCTCTCCTCAGTGCTTGAGCCCGTAATCCGGTCTCTGCTCAGTGTGAGCCTGTAATCTCCCTCCGCAGTGGTCCTCCTGTGCATGCACTCCGCTCTGCTGGGCGCAGAGCTGCAGCGGCGGCTCCTGGAGTCAGCGTTGGACCTGCACATGATTGATGGCTCCGTGGTGTTTGTGCCATATGACACGCTCCTCTACAGCCTCCCGTACCGCAACGTGACGCACGCCGCGCTCAAATCCAACGCCAAGCTGCTGCGCGCCTACGACGCCGTGCTCACTGTCACCGTAGACTCGCCACATCAGTCCTTCTACGAGGCCTACGCCTCGGCCATGGAGAACGGGGAGGTGGCCCGCACTCTCCTCCCCCACCAGGTGAGAACTTTATAAATCTTTATTAATAAGGAACATTTGAAACAGTCTGTTATACAGATGATTTGGAAGGTCTAGTTAGTTAGCATTAGTTTTAGCGTTAGAGTTAGCATGACCTGTGAGGACTTTCTACTGTCGCAAAGGCAGTCATGAAGAATAGGTGTCACACGTCTGCATGTGGAGCTAAAGTTGGACTTAAATCATTGCAATTCTTTTGACAACATCAGACACAGACCAGCAGCTGTTTTTAGCTCCATCCACGAATGAAGACAAGTTAGTCCCCTCACACAACACTCTGTGCTGATTAGGACCTCTGAGCTACAGTCGCAACACAGAAAAGGAGACAAAAGGGGATTATATGATCTTTATTATTATTTTATTTGTAACTCAAACATTTGCGGATATGAATTTAATGAAGTCAGTAAATTGCACAAGATCAGTACATCAGCAGATAATACAACAGCATTACAGTGGTCCCTCGTTTATCTCAGACTCAGATTAATTTATTACATCGTCTCTTTGAAAAGAAATGTGTCTTGGAACAGGGGGGGGTCAGTAGCACCCACATACACAGACATAATACAAAACACACTTTAACATTGAAACAATTGCACAATCACCTGATGTTGTTTGTATGGACTGAGCCACAAACGAGTTCTGAAACCTGTTGCTTTTACCCCCTCCCAGAATGCATCAGTTCGTATTGTGAGAAGAGATGTCCTTGCACTGTAAACCCTGACAAGTAAAGTTTACTTGAAAAAACCTTGGAAATAAATTGCATATTAACTTCACTTGAATTCTTTGAGTACATCCTTTACTTGATATTGCCAAGTAAACTCAAGTGATTGCGATAAACGATAAGCGATTTCAACTTGTGCTCCGACTGGGATTCGTCACTGCCACTCAGCCACCGGGCCACCCTGTCATGAACACACCTGCCTTATTAAAGAGTCTACACGACAAAATGTCAAAAGTTTATGCCCCAGGGCAGCTGTGGCTACAGTAGTAGTTTATCACCAGCGTGTACGGAGTGAAAGAATAATGACATGTGAAGCGTCTTTAAGTGCCCAGAAATGCGCTTTATAAAACATATATACAATATACATTTTATTATTATTATTTAGACGTCTGAACTGTCACTACATTTAAAAAAAGACCAAAATCATGCTTTCATGAAATCAAGATTTCTCGGAGTAGAGATACTGTAGATGAAAAGTTGTCATGGAAAGCTCACATAAGTTTCCTGAGGTCAAAAGTTGCTAAATGTGTTGGAATGATGAAGCGAGCAAGTCCTTTACTCAATACCAACGTTGCTAAAAAAGGCCATTAGGATTGTAGCTACTGTACACTATAGGCATATTTCTAATTCACTTTTCATAGAATTAAAAGATCTTAAGCTGTAGGATGTACAGTAATGAACTTTAAAACTGCTCAAACTCCGTGCCACCTCATGTACAGAACCTACTGCATGATCGAGATGCTCTCCATAGTTACAGACTATAACAAAAAACTATATGTACCTAAACCAAGAACTACATTCAAATCTATGTGCGTCTCAGTGCGAGGAGTTTCTCTCTGGAGCGATCAAATAAAAACATCTTCAAACCCGTTACAATTTTAAAAACTGTTTAAAAATTAAGTGTTGAAGAAGTACCTGGAGCAGAGACAGTGATGCCCTCAGCACAGAGCAGGGGATGGGAGAGAGGGGTAGGGTCAGAGAGTGTTTGGGCCGGTGTGTGTGTGTGTGTGTGTGTGTGTGTGTGTGTGTGTGTGTGTGTGTGTGTGTGTGTGTGTGTGTGTGTGTGTGTGTGTGTGTGTGTGTGTGTGTGTGTGTGTCTATACCCCATGGTTGGGTATTGTACGTATGTGCTGCACAGTATCAAATTTGTATTGGTATTGTATGTTGATTAATTGTGTTGTATTCTGTGCATTATTGTGTTGCATTGTGAGAGGGGTTGGGAACAAATACGCATCTGCTTCATCCAACCCCTTTTCAAACCTGTATGAGTGCAAAGATATGTGACAGTGAAGATATGGGAAACTGTTTAGCAGGTTTGAAATAAAATCAAACTCAATGAAATGCACAGTGATAATATGTATAATGAGCTGTTTTTGTTAACACCTTTCAAAAGTATCGGAACATCTGTGGTCAAAACACCTCCCTGGTTTGAATACTCTCCCTTAATTAAACATGCTGACCAAACTATGGCCCGAGGACCAAACGTGGTCCTCAACGAGTCTCCACGGCTCTCAGCAGAAAGTCACAGGAGCTCAGCCCGTCCAGCGCCCCCTCTGGCCCTGACCTGGAACAAGCAAAAGCAAAAATGACTCAGAAGTAGCAGCAGTAGTAGTAGCAGTAGTAGTAGTAATGGTAGTAGTAGAAGTAGTAGAAGTTGTAGTAGTAGCAGCAGCAGTAGTAATGGTAGTAGTAGTAGTAGAAGTTGTAGCAGTAGTAGCAGCAGTAGTAGTAGTAGCAGTAGCAGTAGTAGTATTAATTAAAGCAGTAGTAGCAGTAGTAGTAGCAGTAGCAGTAGTAGTATTAGTAGTAGTAGCAGTAGCAGTAGCAGTAGTAGTAGCAGTAGCAGTAGCAGTAGTAGTAGCAGTAGCAGTAGCAGTAGTAGTAGCAGTAGCAGTAGTAGCAGTAGCAGTAGTAGTAGTAGTAGTAGTAGCAGTAGCAGTAGTAGTAGCAGTAGTAGCAGTAGTAGTAGTAATGGTAGTAGTAGAAGTAGTAGAAGTTGTAGTAGTAGCAGCAGCAGTAGTAATGGTAGTAGTAGTAGAAGTTGCAGTAGTAGTAGTAGCAGTAGCAGTAGTAGTATTAATTAAAGCAGTAGTAGCAGTAGTAGTAGCAGTAGCAGTAGTAGTAGTAGTAGTAGTAGCAGTAGCAGTAGCAGTAGCAGTAGTAGTAGCAGTAGCAGTAGCAGTAGTAGTAGCAGTAGCAGTAGTAGTAGTAGTAGCAGTAGCAGTAGTAGGAACTGTATAAACAGCAGTACCTTACAGTAGTAGCAGTAGCAGTAGTAGTAGCAGTAGCAGTAGCAGTAGTAGGAACTGTATAAACAGCAGTACCTTACAGTAGTAGCAGTAGCAGTAGTAGTAGCAGTAGCAGTAGCAGTAGTAGGAACTGTATAAACAGCAGTACCTTACAGTAGTAGCAGTAGCAGTAGTAGTAGTAGTAGCAGTAGCAGTAGTAGGAACTGTATAAACAGCAGTACCTTACAGTAGTAGCAGTAGCAGTAGTAGTAGCAGTAGCAGTAGTAGTAGCAGTAGCAGTAGCAGTAGTAGGAACTGTATAAACAGCAGTACCTTACAGTAGTAGCAGTAGCAGTAGTAGTAGTAGTAGCAGTAGCAGTAGTAGGAACTGTATAAACAGCAGTACCTTACAGTAGTAGCAGTAGCAGTAGTAGTAGCAGTAGCAGTAGTAGGAACTGTATAAACAGCAGTACCTTACAGTAGTAGCAGTAGCAGTAGTAGTAGTAGTAGCAGTAGCAGTAGCAGTAGTAGGAACTGTATAAACAGCAGTACCTTACAGTAGTAGCAGTAGCAGTAGTAGTAGTAGTAGCAGTAGCAGTAGTAGTAGTAGTAGCAGTAGCAGTAGTAGGAACTGTATGAACAGCAGTACCTTACAGTAGTAGCAGCTCATTGGGAGAATGTAAAGAAGATGCAGCACTACGTTCAGCAGGACTCTGATGATCAGGGCTGAGTCTGAAACTGAAGAAAAATAAAACTCATGTAACATTTGTGTTCAATTTGTTTAAAAAAAAAAAAAACATACGTTGAGCGAAACAGAGATTCTCACAAGTGTGTTAACTCTAGTAAAGATTAATTTGCAAATACATTTTTGTTTGAAAATACAGTTTTGCCATTGGAATAAGCACAGACTGTATTTACTTAATCAAAAGAGATCTTGTAGATTGTGAGTGAACATTAGTCATGTCACTTTCGGTCTTGGAGACTTTAGGTCTCTTGGTCATTTCTTCCAGACCAGGGGCCTGTTGCTAGAAGCTGTATTGACTCATTCAGAGTAAGGTGCGTTTATAACAAACACAACAGAGAAATCCTTTAGTCTGTCCTAATGTCCTAATAGTCCTAATAGTCTTTGCTCTTTCACCATTTTGATCATTCTAAGCTAATTTAAAGAAGCTATACCCAATTTTTTTAATGAGTTCATAAAAATGCTTATTACTACAGTAGGTCCCATTTCGTTTTGTCGTCTTCACTCACGCTTTTCATGAATCACGCAGCTGCGTGAAACATATTACATCTTATCGCCACAAGGTTTGATTACTACAAACTTGAGCACATTGATTCAGTGGTGTATGAATTCAGGCTGTAAAAAGTGCAGAGTAGAGACTTAGCGTGAGGCTCGTTCTCCTCACTCCCAGAACCAGGAGCGGCGCTGTTACGAACACGCTGCGTCCTCTAGCCTCTACAGCGCTGCTAAACACAGTAGCATGTTAGCAGAATTGGCTATACCTGCTCTGGCTGTAACTGCACACACAGCAAAACAGTCCAAACGACACAACAGTGAGGAAGAGAAAAGGGAACTAAAGCGAAAAAATTATCAAAGAAGAATTCAAGCCATATAGCTAGCTTACATTGTATCCTGTGGAGAAACTTAACAGTCTATGGGAGACCTGCGGGATCGCCTCGGACTATCTATGCTCGGACTACATCTGGACGCGAAACAAGCGGTAATCTTTCAGTTATATATTTTGTTAGCAGTGCGTTGCTTTTGTATCATTTCATCAGTGATTGTTGTACAGCTTAAGTTGCGCTAGTGATAATGTTTGCTAATGTATCAGATTGCAAATAAAAAGAGATGGCTCTGTGGGAGGAGAGCGTAGGGGAAATGAGAAACCTGTGAGCGAGTTGGGGGCGGTGCTAAACATTCAAGCCTTACAGAAACGGGTGTAGCTCCTTTAAAGGATTCAGTATGTCCTCAGTGGCCAGCAGTGGGACATACACCCTTTGCGTAAAGTAATATTTTACCCTTTGGGCCGACCGAATATTTACCTCCCAGCCTCAGCTCCAGTCTCTCGCTCTCGGAGGAGAAGTTGTGGTTGAACACCTGTAGGTGGTAAACACAAGTGTAGTCTCCTTTGTGGGCGGGGCCAGTGTGGTTGAACAGGAAGTGTGCAGAGTGATTGACAGCAGGCAGGGTTTGGTTCCCAGTGGGAGAGAGCAGCTGGAAGGAGCCTCCTGAGAACTGAGGCTTCACCGAGCACTGGACCAGGAACTGAGACCCCAACAGGACCCTGACGGCATGGACCTGGGTCTGGGTCTGGCCTTGAGCCTGGGTCTGCGACTGGGTCTCGACCTGGGATACGCCAACACTCACAGAGAGGGACAGGATTGGACGATTCAGTAAATCTGTGGAGAGATATGATTGGACGATTGAACACTTCCTAAAATATTGGTATCTCCTACTTATCCTCAATCTAGTCCTTTACAAATGATGGGACCCGCCTCTTATACAAATTGTGCATTGAGTCGGAATCTGCTAAAGATTTTTTTTAAAGTTACTCAAAATAAATACTTGACAGTGAACGCACTTTACCTCAGATGAAAGGTCCCAGTTTGCAAACCTGCTCAAGTCTGAGGCTTGTCCCAGAGACGGACTGTGTGTGCATCAGGTGAAAACAAAAACAAGCAGTTTGTCCCGATGCATAGGTCTGTCGTGCCAGTGCCCATGATGTAATATATGTAAGTCGTCAAGCGGTTTTCCGCATCCTCTGTTGTTGCAGCGTTCTGACTCCGGAGCAACTGCGGCTGCCAGCCGTAACGTGACCATAATGTGACCAGCGCGGACCATCGACGCGGACCATCCACACGGACAGGAGCAAGTGCCTGTCTTTGCTTAACCTGTGCACGCAATAAATACGTTGCTCATGTCCGTGTCTCCTCCTGAGTCTCCTCTTGTGTCTCCTCCTGAAACACTGGAACCAAAACTCACAAAATTAAAGCTGGGGTACCTAAATTTACCCTTGCATGAATAATTCAGGTTGGTAACTTAAAACAACTGTCAAAGACAAATAATCAGAGATATCAAAGAGACAATTGTTGCTATTTATTTATTTTGTTTTCTTGGAGTATTTTTGGTAAACTGAGACTGATATGTTTAAAGGACGACTAAACACCGGTGCCCAGCCTGAATCCGCCTACATGAACATATAAATATTCTTTCTAAAAAGGCAGATGCTTGAGGACCACGGGACAAGAAGGGGGGCTGAGAGTTGGGCGTGGTCTGCGCTGTGATTGACAGCTCACTTGTCACTCAAACAAAAAACAGAAAGTAGTCATTGCTGCTTAAATAGTTTACACACAAAGTCTCATTCCTTTGTTTACACACTAAGATAATTGTAAAGCTACACACCTCAACCTAAGCCACAGAATTATCTCAGCAGTAGTGGTTGTCAACTCATGTAATTTAATTTTAATCCACTAGATGGCGCCAGACTACACCAACCTGCTGCTGGAGTGTGTGAGAGTTGGATGGGTTTATATCACTGGCACAGACAAACGCAAGTCACACATCACTCCAGGGTCAATGGAGAGGCCAGGACCAAAATTCAAATGTAGTACCATCGAAAAGGTAGAGAGGGCGCCACACAGACGGTTTTAGGCTCAAAACTGAGATTTTATCTAATTTTCACTAAAATGTCGAAGAAATTACCAGAATATGTAGAGAGCACAACAATAAACATATTTATGTTTAATCTAACCGGGCGGCACAGTGGCTGAGGGAATAGTACTCTTGTTTCTCAGCAAGAAGGTCCTGGGTTCGAATCCCGGTCGGAACAGGTTCTTTCTGAGTGGGGTTTGCATGTTCTCCCTGTGTTTGTGTAGGTGTCCTGCAGGTGCTCGACTTGACAAAATCTTAAAAGACTTGCAACTCCACTTGGACTTTAACATCAGTGACTCGTGATTTCACTTGGACTTTAACATCAGTGACTCATGATTTCACTTGGACTTTAACATCAGTGACTCGTGATTTCACTTGGACTTTAACATCAGTGACTCATGATTTCACTTGGACTTTAACATCAGTGACTCGTGATTTCACTTGGACTTTAACATCAGTGACTCGTGATTTCACTTGGACTTTAACATCAGTGACTCGTGATTTCACTAGGACTTTAACATCAGTGACTCATGATTTCACTTGGACTTTAACATCAGTGACTCATGATTTCACTTGGACTTTAACATCAGTGACTCGTGATTTCACTAGGACTTTAACATCAGTGACTCATGATTTCACTTGGACTTTAACATCAGTTACTCTGACTTTCACTTGGACTTTAACATCAGTGACTCGTGATTTCACTAGGACTTTAACATCAGTGACTCTGACTTTCACTTGGACTTTAACATCAGTGACTCTGACTTTCACTTGGACTTTAACATCAGTGACTCATGATTTCACTAGGACTTTAACATCAGTGACTCATGATTTCACTTGGACTTTAACATCAGTGACTCGTGATTTCACTAGGACTTTAACATCAGTGACTCATGATTTCACTTGGACTTTAACATTAGTGACTCATGATTTCACTTGGACTTTAACATCAGTGACTCATGATTTCACTTGGACTTAAACATCAGTGACTCTGACTTTCACTTGGACTTGAGCTTTTGACTTAAGACTTTGCTACTCTTCCTCGAACCCCAAGATTAAAAGTATTGTTCCACGACTGAACGCTCTTTCTCACCTTTGCACCTGTGTGTACCTGTGTGCACCTGGTGTACCATGTGTAACATGTGTGCACCTGTGTGTACCTCAGTGCACCTGTGTGTCACCTGTGTTGCACCTGTGTGCACCTGTGTGCATCTGTGTGCACCTGTGTGTACCTGTGTGCGTGAGTCACGCAGCGTGAAGTGTGAATGGCACGACATCCAATCAAATTGGATCCACGTTGTTTGGACCTGATCCAACCCAATCAGAGACGAGACGACCAATAAAGAGGAACAAACTAAACGCAAAAAATGATACCAACGGGAGTTTCGTTTGGGAACAAGAAATTATTAGCCTGACTCCCGCCAGCCGCTTGTAAAGCTGCGCATCTCACAAGAATCTGGGACTCCTTCATAGCAGTTGGATTTCAGAAGGCAGGGCCTTGTAAAAAAAATCCTTGTATGTGATTGGATAAACCACTTGTCCGTTATCTTGAATGACGTCTTCCTTTAACCACTCGCATCGAAGCACACGACTTCCATGGGTTGCCAAATGCCGGCAAGATTTTCCAGCCCAAAATTTTTTTGGCTAAAAACGTAATTTAATCAACTTGGGCTATCATGATTCTGTTTATTGTCTTTCTGTTTATTTATTACCTAGAAGTTTCTTGGAAAAAAGTATGCGGGAAACCACCCAACCTGGCAATCCTGCTTCATAGTGTTGTAAACAGGAACTCTTAAACTACTGCTTAAATCAAACTTTACACGAACATTTGACTCTTAAAACACACATATATCAACATAGAACCATCAACATCTCGCCTCATATTGCACATCTGTGTCTTAATTTGTTCGTGTTTAAACTTTTAAAAAGATTTGCGGACTTTATGTCCGCCATTTTGGATTGCTTTTGGTGCTGTGTGAGACCAGCTTGAGAATGCGGCACAAACACGACATAACACTGGCGATCCTGATTGGTCGATTATTTTCTGATCTGCTGAAGGAGTTTGGTATGCGCTTGATCCCAGACCCTTGTGTTCAGCCAAACGCCTCTGGTGGAGCATGGTGGAACTACACGGGTCTGGCAGAGCCAGGCTAAGAAACTATGAGATGACGAACAAAAAAGAATTGCAGTTTGTAAATCATGTGGGGGCAAGATTACAGACGGAGACGCGACAAATAAAAACTTAAAAGGACTAAAGGACTCGAAACTCAAACAATAGGACTTGGGACTAGACTTGCAAAACAAAGACTTGGTCCCACCTCTGGTCTATTTGTCGTTTTTATGCAGTTTGGCCTTTATTAAGTAGAAAAAGCCCCAAAATGGCAATTCAATTTATGTTTGCAATATTATTGTTTATCGCAAACATTTCTAGGACAATTTATTGTCAAGGAAAATGTGTTATTGTGACAGGCCTAGACCTGGAGTCCAAGGTTGCTCTTGCATCAGAAGACGGTTGAGCCTCCTCGGCTGAGTCTGAATCCAAACGTCTGTGGCTACAAGTTTCTAAACTTTCATTCTCTACATATTCTGTGTGTGTGTGTGTGTGTGTGTGTGTGTGTGTGTGTGTGTGTGTGTGTGTGTGTGTGTGTGTGTGTGTGTGTGTGTGTGTGTGTGTGGTGTGTGGTGTGTGTGTGTGTGTGTGTGTGTGTGGTGTGTGTGTGTGTGTGTGTGTGTGTGTGTGTGAGTGTTAAAGAGTCATACCTGAACACACCACCTTCACTTTGGACGTAAAGTATGATGCTGTGCCTACACACTGTCTCACTGTAGACGCTGTCATACAGTCGGGGAACACCAGCCACCCTCCCTCTGTTCCATCTTTGATCTTTTCTTCAGACACGGCAGACCCACAGTCCAGCTCTTTGCACACCGTTTCTGTTTGCTTGGGGATCCAGTTTCCAAATGGGCTCACCACTTTTCTCCACTCTCCTTTATGTCTGAGCTCCACTGTCCCAGCACAGCGACTGGCCCCTCCTACCAGCCGGAGCGGCTCTGGATGAAAGAGACATGCATTATGGGGCGTGCATATTCTCTAATTTTCAGACGCAGGGGTGTTCAGACCAGAAGTCCTGGCCTGCGATGGTGCCCGCCGGAAGTGGCGGATGTAGCAGACGGACTTTGATGCCAACGGAGTTAAGCTAGCGGCTTTTTGTGTAAAGTTCTACTCCAATAATGCAGCTCTAAAGCGTCTCTGCGTCCGGAGACCTTACAGAGACTTTATATAACTGTAGTATGTGTTCACAGAGCGCCATACGTTTATTTTATTATTAAACGGTACTTCCGTATCGGCAAACACGCTCAAAGCAGTTGCATAAAGTCACGGGAGCATGAAAACGCATATGTTAACAAGCACCATGTCCCCCATTGTCAACCCTGGTTTAGTTCTGATGTTGCTCCTGTTTTGGCTGTTTACAGTATGTTCAGTCTGCTCGCTCAGTCCGCTAATGTCCCCGTGACCACTTTGCGGCTCTCTGATTGGTCACTGCACGAGCGTCAGAGGAAACGTTCAGCAATGTTTATCTCCTGCATGCGTCGATTTTCCGCTCCTGTGCATCGCCGCACCTTTGCTGCGCAGTCCGTGGACATGCAGTTCCACGCTCGAACATGCGTCAACATTGACTTTGCATTGAAAGTCAACGCAACGCATGATCCGGTCGCAACACGGCTTTAGCCTTTTCACATTGTGTCTTTCACTCCAAACACTTTACGCACGTCAACGTACGCACAAAATAGGATTGTTTCTATTTTGCCCGTCCGCGTCCGTTGCACCCTGCATGGACGCACTGCTCCCTACGCGCCTCATACAGACGCATGTCGCGGCAGTGGAGCCACTTCCATTCACCCTCATGGAGAAAATGGAAATAGAGTTGAAACGGACCTGTAGTATGTTTTACGCAGCCGGTGGAGTCGGGGCCTTAGCCGTTGAAACCGTTGGCCCCTGGGTGTCCCATCATAGCACTCACCAGGCCCCACACTGCTTAAGTTCTAGGATCTGACAGTATCAGGCTTTTGTGACGCCTGGGAGACACTATTACACAGTTGTTTTTATTGATTTGAAGACTAAGCAGCCCTTTAACAAAGCTTCTTCACCTAAGCTCCGCCCCTCCTCTTAAAGACCTTATGACGGGTTTGATTTATTTAGAAATACAGTTTTAATACCATTTTATATTAGAAGAGAACTACTAAAGGTTTCAAAATCAGTTGTTGTTTTTTTTGTCTGATCCCCCCAAATCGAAATAACCCCATAGCAACGCCCTTAGAGACGAAAAAACTTCACAGCCCTTGGTGACGTCAGAGTGGGTACGTTTCAACGCTGTAAGTTGTTTACAATTTGGTATTTGTTCTTTTTTCGCGGATATTCAAGATGACAAGGCCGTGTACAACGAGTTTGAACTTACCACTAGATTGAGTTCACTTGTTGGCACTGACATAGTCCAGTGGTTGTGTTGATGCACTGCCAATCCAGATACTGGGGTTCAAATCCCACCTCAGACACTTTTTCACTCTCAAAACTGCAATTTATGTGTAGTGAGCAATTGTCACCTGTAGAGGGCAGTATTTTGTTGGGCATCAGTGGAGAGAAGAGAGAAAAGGTAGTCCTGTGGCATAGATCCATGGTTTTCAAAATGCATGGGCGTAACCCGCTATGACGTCACACACAGGTTAGAGCATAGACAACTTAAATTCATGAAAAACAAGTTCTTTTTATAAAATATAGGATTTTTTTTCCGGAATTATTTCAGAATCGACATTGTCATGCAATTTTGATATCCACATTTTCTTTTTTTTTAAACCCGACATGAGGTCTTTAAAGACTTTATGCAGGGTTTGTCCAATAATTTGTAGATATCAAAATTGAAAGTCGGATATTCAATTAATGCCAATCTGAAATGGATCCAGGCAAAATTATCCTTTATTTTATTGAAAAAATACGTTTTTCATACGCGTTGGCTCAGCCTCACACCTGGAAGTGTGACGTCACAGCGGGTACAGCTCTTTCAAAATGGACAGTGATTCCGACAGCAAACAAGAAACACGCGAAAAAAAACCTCGTCTATGAAACGAGTATCTGTCATGTGGGAGAATGAAGAAAAAGGGAACCCAAAATGCAGGACTGAAAATCTAATTAATTTAATAAAATGAATCCAAGGTAATGTAAAAACACAAAAGCAACAGAACTGAAGACAGGACAAACGTGGGAGAGACAATTGACGGACAACAAGTGAGGAAAAGCACAGGGTATAAATAAACACAGGGAAACACAGGTGAGTCACATTAGGGTGGGGCAACAATCAACAGAACAGACAGGAAGCAACTCCAAGAGAACAAATAGCAAAATAAAACCAGGCCAAAATAGTCAAAAAGTCCACACCATGACAGTATCAACGGATGAAGAGCAAAGCTAGTTACAAGAAGAAGTCTCACACCTTTTGCCACATATTTGAGCTGATGCTTCCTCGGATAAAGCGAAGAGACAGACCCTAGACCCTGAGGTGTTTAAAAAGTGACTTGACGCAGATCGGCACAAAGACAAACACGCCTCTTATACAGGGAAATAAATAGGAAAATAATAGTTAACTATTCGTTAGGGCCTGTGAGTGTGAAAAGTGCCGCCCAACCGCCATTAAATCAACAATAAAAAGTACTGATTACAGACACAACTTCAATTCAATTCTTAATAGCAGCACTAGGTTCTAGGGGCCTCTTCCAGAAAAAAAGGTTTCATAACAACCTTAAAAAAGCAGTTTTTTTCAAACATCTTTGACGATGTTTTCACATGAATCAAATCAATGGTTTTCATGTCTATGTATGTGACAGACTGGATTCAGGAACGTTCCTTAAACATGGAGTAACAGGGATTCATCCTGGTCTTACCAATATTTACAGTCAATGGTCTTATAATACGAGATCGCGGATACAAGCGGTCGAAATGAGCTTCCTCTGCAGAGTGGCTGGGCGCTCCCTCAGAGATAGGGTGAGGAGCTCAGTCACATGGGAGGAGCTCGGAGTAGAGCCGCTGATACTCCACTTCGAGAGGAACCAGTTGAGGTGGCTTGAGGATTTCCTCATGTCACTTTTAACACAAAGGTACAATTGAACGCTGTTTTCAAACATTTGTATGATATAAATGTGATAACTTTTAGAAATGACTCGCTTCATTTTAATGATCAATCTACAAGGCTGAACACATCAGAAAGTTGTAATAGCGACATCGTCTCCTGATAGAGCAGCATTCTGTCCATGCGCCGCTCGCTGCAGCGGTTCCAGTGAAGCAGGGGTAAAGTCTCCGTGTGAAGAACATATTGTGAACAAAACAGAGAGGGTCCTTTAGTTCTCCAAATTGTTGAAGTTCGTTGGCCGTTCTCATCAAGGCTGCGATCAAGTCCATCCTCCTCGTCTCTAACACATGTAGCCTTCTTCCTCTTCTGTCCAAAGCCTCCTCTTCTCCTTTGGTCTGAAGCCTATTGTGCGTCTGTGAGCAGTGCGTTGCAAGACATCTTCTTGTCATCTCAAATATCCACCGATTTAGGGCAAAAAATAGACAAACAAAATGTAAACAAGCGTGATAGCATGGAGGACATGGACTTCCGGATCACACCGGTGCCATAGGCCGTTGCTGTGGTCTTTTCTCAATTTTGGACAAAAAAAAAAAACATTTGCTTTTGAAACCTTTAGTAGTTACTTACTTACATAAAATGGTATTAAAACTTTATTTCTAATCGATACCAGCCCTGCATAAGGTCTTTTGGCACCACCTCTCCTCTGAGCCCCGCCCCTCCTCTTAAGTCCCGTCTATCCACATAAGCCCCGCCCCTCATCTTAAACCCCACCTCTCCACATAAGTCCCACCCCTCTCACCTGAGCACCTGATGTTCACAGCGGACTCATAGGAGCAGGTCTTGGGTCTGGAGCGGGGACAGTCCATCAGAGAAGACTCATGGCCCTCACAGTGGAACGTCTGCTTCAGAGGAGAGAGCTCCCCCTGGAGGACAGAAGGATCCCCACAGCCCAGCTCCCTGCACAGCACCTCTGTTCCCCTCTGGTCCAAGGCCCCTTCACAGACCGAGATCCAGGACTGGTCCCATATTTGCAGTGATCCAGAGCAGAGACCAGAGCCTCCAACCAGCCGCAAAGAGTCTGAGACAGAGAGGTCTTCAAATCAAAGGACAAACTGAACAGAAGAAGAGCAGCAAGTCAGGCTGAAGAGTGGATGTTTTGGATGAATGAGGAGATTTATAGCCACACTAAAGAACTTCTACATTTCCATGTTCGAGTCTGGCTGTGTTTGCTCCAAAGAGACGGGGATGTGGAGGGAGACCAAAGAGAGACCAGAGAGAGACAAAAGAGAGATCAGAGAGAGACCAAATGGACCAGAGAGAGACCATTTACCTGAACATACCACCTGCAGTCCCTCGTTGGTAGTAGAGCTCAGACTCACAACGCAGTCTCTCACTGAGGACTTCCGTGCACATGCTGAAGTCAAATACCACGCTGGCCTGTCTGGGAAACGTGAATAATCTCCAGAAATAAGGAAGCCACAGTCCAGGTCTCTGCACACAGCAGACATGTCCCCCTGAACTCTGATGTCATAGGCTGCACGAGAGATCACATGTCTCCACTCTCCGTTGTGTTGGAGTTCCACGGTCCCAGCACAGCGACTGGCCCCTCCCACCAGCCTGAGCGGAACTGGACAAGAGAGACCGGATCAGCGAAAGACCAGACCAAAGAGACAAGAGAGACCAGACCAAAGGGACACCAGGGAGACAAGAGAGACCAGACCAGACCAGAGAGAGACAAAAGAGACAAGAGAGACCAGACCAGACCAGAGAGAGACAAAAGAGACAAGAGAGACCAGACCAGAGAGAGACCAGAGAGAGACCAGAGAGAGACCAGAGAGAGACCAGAGAGAGACCAGAGAGGGACCAAAGAGAGGGCAGAGAGAGAACAAGAGAGAACAAAGAAGCAAACTTTTATCATAAAGTAGAAAAGAAACAGGCCTTCACAATAGCCCTACCCTGTAAGCTCTACCATCCTCACCTGAGCAGGTAATGTTCACAACGGACTCAGAGGAACAGGTCTTGGGTCTGGAACGGGAACAGTCCATCAGAGCAGACTCATGGCCCTCACAGTGGAAAGTCTGCCCCAGAGGAGAGAGCTTCCCCTGGAGGACAGAAGGAGCCCCACAGCCCAGCTCCCTGCACAGCACCTCTGTTCCCCTCTGGTCCAAGGCCCCTTCACAGACCGAGATCCAGAACTGGTCCCATATCTGCAGTGATCCAGAGCAGAGACCAGAGCCTCCAACCAGCCGCACAGAGTCTGAGAGACCATCACTCAAGTCAATACAGTGCAGTATTTCCTGCAATAGGAGTTTTTCCTCCGATGCAGGAGGGTCTGTTGGACAGTTAGTGTCTAACAAAAAGGATGTGGTGATGATCCAGGACACTTTTCTACAACATGTATGACATTTATCAACATGTGTTCTATATTCTTTATGTGTTTTAACTGTTGATTCTCTGATCTGTGTTGGTGATTTCAATGGTTTTGTTAAGTCTCTGAGATGACTACTGTTGTGATTTAGGGCTATACAACAATACAGTACATTGTATTGTATTGTATTGTATTGTATTTCATTTTTGCATTGCCCAAAATCAGAACAGTAGTTATCTCGGAGCACTTGAAGCTGTTGATTTGCCAAAACAGATATAAGAATCAAACAGTGGAATCTCACTCACTCCTAGCCAGTGGGGGTGTACCAAGAAAGAGAAATACCCAATGCTTTTGTATGCCGCCTTCTTTCCTCTCAAAAACGGCTCTACTGGATGATCCAAAGGTTGACTCCTGGCCCAACGCTGTTTCAGATGCGTGTCAATGCTCAATTGCAATTTTTTCACATTTTCCCGCGGAAGGGGCTGCCCATGGCCATTTTGAAAAATTCTACAGAAGGCGAAAGTGGTGGCACATTAGTTTCAATGGTGGAAATGGGGGTGACTAAGTCTGTTAATTTTTAAAGTCTATGGTTCAAACCAGTGGGGGAGGGTCCCGGCTAGAAAGTGGCCAAAATGACGTGCGCTGACATGCTTGCAATACCACCCCGGGCCGATGGGGGTGGACCCAGAAGAAGAATTAGTCAATGCTAACATATAGCATTGGCAGACCTCTCAAAAATGTGTTTACAGGATGGACCAAAAGTTGGCTCTTGGCCCAAAGCTCCGTTCCACATGTGTGTCAATGCTGAGGGGGGTGAATTTTTTTGGACCACTCTAGTTTACTCGCTGTGAATTTTTAAAGTCTCTTGTTCAAATGAATGGAGCTGCGCCGGCTGACGCATGCGCAGATGCGTTTTTTTTGGCCCATTAGTTAGAACGGCGGAGATAGGCGTGACTCTATCCGATACAGTCTATGGTTCAAACACAGGAAATGCAATGATTTAAAAAACCAAATAATCTACATATGTTGTTGAATGTCAAGTGCCCTGGATCATCATCACTGTCTTTATACCCTCCTGCATCAGCCACTACTGCAAACTTCATGAGTCTTACCTGAACACCTCACTTCCAGACCCAAGGAACTGGAGACACCATCCGAGGAGCAGTCTTTCACTGCAGACGACTTCACACAGTCAGAGCTGATCCTCCACACAGAGCTCTGTGGGAAGTCCTCTTTATTGTCACTATAGAGAATGGATCCACAGTCCAGGTCTCTGCACACAGCAGCAGAGTCTTTGAAGGTCCAGAGGTCTCCACCAATCCCACGACTCCAGCTTCCATTCCGTCTGAGCTGCACTGTCCCAACACAGCGACTGGCTCCTCCCTCCAGCCGCAGATCTGAGCAAGAGACAAGAGTGAAGCCCCGCCCTGTGTGTGTGTGTTTGTGCGTTTGTTTGTGTGTGCCTGTGTGTGTGCATATGTGTGTGTATGTTGGTGTGTGCATGTACGGTATTTGCATTGCGCGTGCGTGTCCGTGTGTGTGTCTTACCCTCTGAGCTGTTGTGTTCTGCCAGGACTCCTGCACGCAAAAAAGTAATGTCACAAAATGGCGTCTGTCGTTGAAAAAGTGGTAAAGAGAGGACCGCCCTCACTCAGCTCTTAGCCCAAAGAGTCAAATAGTGACTCCTACTGCTCTTTCTTACACAAAATATAACATGTTTTCTAATAAGATGAAGACAGGACGCTGTGGTCGGTTTTGTTCAAAGGATTTACTTTTACAAGACTCTTTATGTTTTTGTTTCAAATAGATTGGACATTATTAATTATTGGTTCTGTGTCTATAGAGTTGGACAAATCCATGAACATTGTTGGACTCTATATAACAGGGGTCCCTAACTGGCGGAGAGCCTTTTCTCTGTACCTCCATACATTTTTGTTCAAAAATACCAAAGTTCTGTAAATTTTTATCACAAATATCAATTTGTAAATAGGCGGGCACAAAAATAACACTTCAATGAAAAATGGTGTCGTCAAAAATCAGAAAAGTGGATTTAGAAAACTGCTTTTATTTTGCCAGTATTGAGTTCTACGATTCCAGTCTGTCTTTTATGTGCCCTGATTAAAAAGACAACACCGGTAATAACCCAATCCCTGACAACAGCCAGTTTGTACTCGGTGCCAGTACAGTGGATATTGGAGAAGAATAAAAAGCCTTTCACTGATTTTAAAATGGTCAAAGAATGTTTGGAGGCTTTGACAAAAACTCTATTTGAAGGAAAAGAAGGACTGCAACTCAAATAAAAGATAAATATTTGTCCATAAAGGAAATGCTGACCGAGAAAGGGATGAATCTGAAAAGTGTTCATAATGGGACGTGAAAAGGGAACAAGTGGCTCGACTGAAAGAGGACAATCCAGAACTCTTTTCCCGTCACAGCATCGACCGTCTGTTCTCTGCTCCAAAGCTTTCACAGCACGAAGCAGGAGCAGTGAACACTAACACCAAACTGGGGAACTTTCTCAGGGCTTCATCAGCCTCGTCTGCTCAGAGACTTCTCAGCAGAAGTAGAAACACCAATGACTTATTGATGCATTCCAACGTCAGATGGTTGAGTAAAGGAAAGGTTCTAGCTTGGTTTTGGAAGATAAGAAATGAAATCAAAGCTTTTCTGGCACAGCAAGATGGAGGAGAGAAAGAACACGGGGAAATGTTTCTGGTGGACATTACAAGATACTTAAAGGATTTTAATCTGAAGCTGCAAGGGAAATACAATTCTGTGTGTGACTTAATCGCTGCTGTCCAGTGTTTTCAGAAGAAATTGGACCTTCTGCAAATGTACCTTGATGAGGAATGCACATTTTTGATATCCTTCTGTAATTGTTTCGGAATTATTTCAAACCTTTCATTTTGCAATTAAACTAATGAAAGATGAGCAAACACATGCGTGAATAAAACAAAAGAAAACAAAAACTTAAAAAGTGGTATTTTAATGTCTGTACCCTGGTCTACTGAACGGATCAAGTTTGTGGACCTCTTGCCAAATTAGATTAGATGAAGAAAAGGACTCACCAGAGATGTAGAGAGACCACACAAGGACAAGGCCAAAGCAGGACATTTCCACGACTGAACCAGGTCTGAACCAGGACTAAGACAAGGACTGATCCAGGTCTGAACCAGGACTAAGACAAGGACTGATCCAGGTCTGAACCAGGACTAAGACAAGGACTGATCCAGGTCTGAACCAGAAAAATGACTAAGACTGAACCAGGACTAACACTTCCACTGAACTAAGCTCACCCAGGTCTAAACCAGAACTAAACCAGGTCTGACTCGGACTCGGACTGAGGCAGATAACATGTTTCCTGTAGTCTGTTATCGCTCCATCGTTCAGTGGATAGTTCAACTCAACATCTTCAGCTGTGGTTATACTTAATCTGTATTACATCTATAAAGCATGAATATTCAGAACATATTTTTTGATGATTTAATAATACATTTTTGTCATTTCAACATGACTTTGATAATGTCTTTATGTCTCCATATTTTATCCTGAATTCTACAGTGTTGGACAATTGGACACTTTCAAAGCATCTCTGATACTTAGTGAAACTCAGTAAACTAGAATATTATTCCAAATGTATTTCTGTAACACAACTTCATCTGTGAAACCAACATAGATTGACATCGTGACATATGCCGAGCCTTTGTTATAATGTGGATGATTGTGGCTTACAGTTCATTTTCAAGATGTTTTATTTGGGCCTTTCTTTTTGTAGCCTGGTCTTACCACAACGTCGTTAGTTAACTCCTTTTGAAGATTGAAACGGTTGGTTCTGAGTTTACCGCCCGAGTGAGTTGCTAGCATTTTGCCTAGCTTTAGCATGTAGCCTAGCTTTAGTCTAGCATCTCCATTGTCACTAACGGAGCCCGTGGGGAGTTGAGCCAACATCTCCGCAGCAATGACATTTGCTAAACATTTCTCTTGCTCCGGCTTCAATTTCTTGATATTTGGAGCTGAACTAGAATGGATTACTTTACTATCGCATTTTCCGCCATTGCCAAATTACAACCAGTAAATTCAGGGCAAACTCTTAACACCACCGACACATACCTATAATACTCATCTCCTGCGCTTGCTGATCGGTCAGAGGGGATAAAACCGATGTAACTGCATTCACTGGGAGCAGACCCAGACGTACATGCAGGGAAATAATAATTGACCGGAGTTTACGGATGGCTAAGGCCAGGCTATATTCACAGGGATCTGCTTCTGAAATCCGCAAAAAAGCAGTTTTTCTGTGATCGACAGAGAAGAGGAGAGATCGATTCGTTTCAAATGAGTCGACTCTATCACACGTGGGCTTGGATGTGGACTGTGAAACACAAAGAAGAGTGAACTATAAGACCATTTATACATACATTATTAAAATATGTTTTGAAAATATATATTCCTGATTATGTCTTGGGTCCCACGGATTAGTTTCACATTGTAAGATGAACTACAGAAGTGAATGAAGCATAAACATTCGTAGACTTTTCAATCGCAATTATTTGATGTGGTCTGGAGCCTTTTCAACCCTCACCTGCTACTTACTGGAAGACATTAAATCCAGTCTTGATGGAGGAGGAATAGTATAGGGCAGTCTTTCTGGACCTGAGAAAGGCTTTCGACACTGTGAACCATGAGCTTCTCATCAGCAAACTGTCTAATTTTTCTCTTGACATAAATACTAAAACTTGGATTCAATCTTACCTCAAAGACAGGCACCAATGTGTTGCTGTTAACAATATAAATTCACCTTTAAGACCTTGCAGCACGGGGGTTCCACAAGGCTCCATTCTGGGCCCCCTGCTGTTCACTCTTTACATAATTGATCTGCTGACTGTGTGTAAGAGTAAGATTATTATGTATGCTGATGACACTGTGGTGTATGCTCATGGCAAAACTGCAGAGGAGGTCGCAGAAAAACTGACCAATGAGATGAAAAAAGTTACACAGTGGCTTAAAAATTCATGTCTCAATTTAGACAAGACTGTATCTATGCATTTCAAAATTTGTAAAATTCCCAATTGTCCAAGCATTTTAGTTGATGGACAAAAAATTGCAATTGCTGAACAGGTAAAGTATTTAGGAGTCATATTAGGGTTTAAAAATCACTTAAATAAATGATCAAATGCAGTTAAATTTAACATGGTACAGTTTCGACACATTAGAAATTCACTCACACCAGAGGCGTCAGGAGCATATCTTAATGCAATGATTGTTCCCCATTTTCTTTATTGTATGACAAGTTGGTCTCAAGCTACTCAATTTGTGCTGAGGCCACTTTATAAAAACTCACTAAAAATCCACGATAAAAAAAGCAGACGTTTCCATCACTGTCAAATTCTTACAAAACATAAAATCTTTGATAACTTAATCAAACACACAAATCTTTGCTTCCTGTTTAAGATCCTTCATGACACCGCTGCTCCTCCACTGAAAGAGTTAATCTCTTTAGGCTCAGACATAACAACACGAGCCACGAGATCCACCGAGCGGCGGCGAGTGTAGGATCCTCAGACGCAGGACAGCTTTTGGAAACTTGGCTCTTTCCTGTGTGACCTCTTGTCAGTGGAACATGCCGCCCACAGAGCTGATAGCCAGCACAAATGCTTACATGTTCTCACGCCTTTTAAAGAAATGGTTATTATCTAATTATTATCTATCTGTTCGTGTGAGAGAGAGGGGGTGGGGGAGAGTGAGTGTGTGTGATTGACCAGTATAAATGAGCGGTTTTAAGAAATTATGCACATGAAGACTTGTATTTTCACCAAATGTAAATCGTACATCCATTAATGTCTGTCATTTTTTATGTAATATCATAACATCAGCCCAGGGTCCCACAGATGGAAATTAGCTCTTGAGCTATAACCTGGTACAATGCAGATTCAGATTCAGTTTATTTGCCATTTGCAGTAAAACACCACATTGGAATACATTAGCAAAAGTCTCCAGTGTGCACAGACAAATACAGACATAAAACAACATTAAAAGACAAAAATAAAACAAATAAAACAGTAAACAAGTGTCACTGTGAAATCGATCGACTAAAACAGTTCAAAACAAGTGAAAATCATTAAAGTGCTCTGTTCACACTGATAACAGCCTGTGGATAAAAACTGTTAGCATAACGAGATGTCCTGCATCTCAGAGAGCAATATCTTCTGCCAGAGGGAAGAAGCTGGAACATGGCTTTCCCAGGGTGGCCAGAAGAGTCATTAACAATCCTAAGAGCATTGTTTAAAAGTCTGGATTTATAAAGAACCTCCAGAACAGGAAGCTCACAGCCCACGGTCCTCTTTGCAGAGCGGAGCACCTTGTTTAAAGCTCTCTTTTCTTTATCTGTGATGTTTCCAAACCACACAGACACAGAACCAACAAGTAAACTCTCAATGGTGCAGCCATAAAAGTTAAGCAGAATCTTAGAGTTAGTGGTAAATTCTCTAAGTTTACGCAGAAAGTAGAGACGCTGACGAGCTTTCTTAACGACTCTGTCAGTGTTTTTAACCCATTTCAGGTTAGACAGAGTTAAACCCAGAAACTTGCACTCCTCTACGATCTGCACCTGGGAGTTGTCGATTACGACAGGCAAATGAGAACTATTGCGACTGAAGTCGTAGACCAGTTCACATGTTTTGGATGCGTTCAACTGGAGGTTGTTAGCTTTACTCCACTGAACCACATTTTGTATCTCTGCTCTATAGAGATATGCATCGTTCCTTTTGAGGTTAATGTTTATGGCACCTCAGCCTGGTATCAATCAATTATCAAACTTATACCTAAATCAGCTAAATTGGATCCTCGAGTGCCCCTGAACTATAGAGGCATCAGTTTGATCAGCACTGTGTACAAGTTGTACTCGGGAATCCTCAACAATAGACTCAATGG